AGCGTTCCTCTTTTGAGTTTCTAAATTGATTGCAATTTTCCTCATTACCTTTGCAATTTAAAAAACTCCCTTGCAAATCCCTTGAAGAAATTTGCAATGTTGCTAAAAGCCGATAAAATTTTCCTCAGTTCCTGTTAGAAGTTCCTAACTTCCTGTTACAAGTTCCTAACTTCCTGTTCTGTTTTGCGTGTTGCAATTGGCTAACAAAAATAATCGACCAATGACAACGCTCAAAACAGAACAGGAAGTTAGGAAATTAAAACAGGAAGTTAGGAAAATTTAAAATGAAGGTTTTTGCATTGGAATATTGCAACAGCCGATAGGAACATTGCAAATTCCCTCAAGGCATTAATTTGCAAAGAGTTTTTCAAATTTGCAAAGCTAATAAGGAAAATTCCAAATGAGTTAGGAAGTCAAAAGAGGAACGCTTCACATAGTTTATCTGTAAGCCAAAAATAAAACGGGCATGTTCACAGATTGTTTCGTTTCATTTGCTCACCAGAGATTGTGGTTGAAAAATGTCGTAGGGCAAATGAGAGAAAACACAAACAAGTCATTTTTTTTCACTTCAACCTCATTCAATCTTTTAGTTCCCCACATTTGGTTGAAGTTCGTGAGAGGATTCGCATCAATGGAAATTTAATTTCCAAACAGGAATTTGCTCGATATTTCTGGGAATGTTGGGATAACTTGAAACAGGTACAGTGTACTCAATATATTTTAACCCATTAAGCACCAGTGCTCTCCCCTTGACAAGTAAAATCATCTGGCATTAGACAGAGTAAATTAATAAAGTAGGGCGCAATGCGACTCGATGGGTTAACTAGACACATGGGCAGATTGGCCAGTTAAGGCCATTAAGCCCTAGCACTCTCCCCTTGACAAGTAACATTGTCTGGTGTTAGACAGAGTAAAATAATAAAGTAGAGCATATCAAGGTGCAATGCAACTCAGTGGGTTAAACTTTGAGTGTTGAACTTCTGAGTTTGTACACTAAGGGTGCAGTGCTGTTCATATATGTGCATGCGTACATTTGGTATTGAAATATAGCAAGCTTGATCATGCTACGTACTTAATAATTTATTTTACTCTGGAAGCAGGAAAATATGCCGCGGTGAGAACTTATAAGGCTATTGCCATATATTCTTTTGTCAATTTTTCAGGGCATTGGTGATGAGATGCCACCATATTTTGTTTTTCTCACTCTCATGTCATTTTACATCTTTTTACAAGAAAAGGTAATCTTTATGTGATATGTGAAAAAACATTAACTGCAAAATATGATCATGAACAAAATTACTCGCTTTAGGTTGATGTTGCAATCGTTGAAGTGGGAATTGGTGGAGCTTTTGATACAACCAATATATTAAGGTAACTTTGATTCTAACCTTGCTTTAACTATAATTGCATTTTCTAGTACGGTATTTATAATTAATACAAGAGAGTCTGGATGGGGTTAACTGACTGTTTTTTGACTGACAGAATATCTTCATGCAGAGGTATTTTGGAACTGACAAAATGTTGTTTTCACCGCCTATATATAAATAACCTCTAAGAAGAAGTATTTTGTTTCTCAGACGACCTTGGGCATGCGGTGTGACGTCGCTGGGTCATGATCACGTGGCTGTGTTGGGTGGGACTACGGAAAGCATTGCATGGAACAAAGCTGGCATTTTTAAGGTAATCAATTCATGGTAACAGTAAGCAATATTCGAGTTAGTAGATGGTAATCCAGTAGGAGGAAGAATATGGAAATACATCTCTCTTTTCATTTTTATTCCCTTCAAATTTTTTGACTCTCACATTTAAATGAATTTTTTTACTCTTTGTGTACTGAAGAGCTAACATTATTTCTCACTGTGATCAGGTTGAACACTAATTTCTGCTGTCTATAGTAAAACTGCGTATTGTTGCTGCCTAATTTTACTCTAGAGCATTTTGGTTAACTTTTAGTGTGGTGTCCCGGCTTTCACAGTGCCCCAGGATGACATATCTACCCGGGTGTTGGCACAGAGAGCTAAAGAATTGAAGGTATCTTTATAAATATGATCGATAAGTCTAATATGTTTCAGCTAACTTTTGTTTTTCCCCTACTCCCTAGGCTCCGCTGAAAGTTGTTCCTGAAATGTGCAGTTATCCAGGAGAAACAGTAATCAGTATGTAGGAATTTACTTGTTGCTAAAATGTCCATACACAGTAATATTAATTAATTGCGACAGATAAAATGACACCGGCTGCTTCCATTTTTACAGCTTTGGGTATTGAAGGCCGCCATCAATTTCAAAATGCGTCTCTGGCTGTGCAACTGTGTAGCGTTTGGTTAGAACGATATAGAAAAGGTTTGTTCTCTGTGATTACAGTGAAATATTGAATAAGTTGTGCTTCATGAACACGCTATGTTTAATATTGCAGAGATGAATGGTGATGATGATTCTAGTTGTTCTGAAAGAGCAGAGATAATGGACAATCAGTCTGATGACCTCATTCCGTTGGCCGATGCATTTCCAATAAACCCGACTTTTAAAAATGGTAGGTATAAAGTGAGAACCGGGTCGGAAATGAGAGATATTAAGAAATTTTCATGTCGTTCTGACCAAAAATACGACAGCTATGATAAGTCTTCATTGGCTCGTTTGCATTCCAGAAAGTTTTTCATACTTTTTTGCCCAATAAAGATTTTAAATCTTGTTCTTTGACTTCTTTTCAACATTTCTATAGCTCTGACGAGAACATACTGGCCCGGGAGATCACACTGCATTAAACGAAAGAACTATACATTATATCTGGATGGAGCTCACACGCCCAAGAGTATCAACGTAAGGCCTCACTCTCTTGCAATGTCTTGTCAGTGAAGCTGGCAATGTGATCCTATTTAAGCTGTAGTAAAGTTATTGTTACTGTCTCTCATTACAATTCAATTTGAATGACATGTTGTAGGCGTGTTCTGCATGGTTCCGCACGAGAGCTGATGAAGAGAAACAGAATTTAAAGTACATGGAACTTTTAACTTTATTATTTTCATGATATATTTTACAATGGCTATGACTTACTAATGTTTCATTTCCAGTGCACAAAATGTAGCGCGAGTGTTGATATTCAACTGCACTGGTGAACGAGACGCACGGAAACTTCTGGCTCCTCTTGTGGTAAGGCAATGTTTGCAACATGGTTCTTTTCACTGAATTTGCGCAATAATCCAATTGCTTACGGGGTTTTTTTGTTGTTGTTTTTTTTAATTTAAACATCTTTGAAATCATTTTCTCCAAGAGCTGAAGCACATCGAGGGAGATCATGCTTACGTATTTGTAGTACATTTCAATTTCTTCTTTATTTTTCAGTCATGTGACTTTGATTACGCTGTGTTTTGCACCAACTCGGTCACGGAAGAACTGGGGAGGAAAAGTTCAGGTAAAAAAGCCCCCATGTCATTCTTTATGCTGTCTTTGCTAACAAAAGTTTCCTAAAAGATTAAATAAAATTCTCCTGTCCTTACTCTTGATAAAAAGCATACACAACACCCACGGCAAAAACACTGCCATTCTCAAAAGATTCCGAAATGATCTCATCAAATTCAGTATTCAATAAACAGCGACTAGCTTGCAGAAATGTCTGACCAGATTTCGAACCAACAGTTACAACACATACAATCTTATATCGTGGCATATGAAGCAACTTCACTTGAGCTTTAATTTGCTCGCTCGTCATCATTGCTAACATATTACAATGATCCGCGTCATACGATTCTTCCCAGAGATTGCGTCGTAATACATCACAAATAATCTGCCGTATTTTTCGACATTCCACGGTACACTCCGGTTTTAATTGCCTTGTATTCGGCAATTTTCTTGCTCGATTTTGCCTGAATTGAACTCCGTGTTTTCTGTCATTGCTGTCGCTCGAACTGTCACTGCTATTTCTGCCATTTTTCTTGTAGTAATAGTTACCAAAACCTTCCATTAGTATCTCTGAAACGTCCACGTGATATGTAAAACAGTTTTGATCAGTTTATTAATTTCTTAAACGAAATAGCTTGGAATAGTTGCTTCTTAGTTGAAAGTAGAAAGTTTTGCTAATCAAAGCAGTGTGCACACAGAACATGCCAACCACAGTTTACAAGTACCTGCTCTCGCATAGCAACGCTTCATACTTTGCTGTGCAGGTGCGTTTGTGATTGTCTCCAGAAAAGCACGAATATAAATCATTCATGAGAAAACACAAGGGAAATCATGAAGATGATGACATCCAAGACAAAATCCTGCTGGTTTAAAGAAACAAGTTCCTTTTTCTCACTCAAATATCATTCGTGTCTTTGAGATTATTGAAGATATTTTCATAAAGACGAATCTTGTATAGCATTCACATGATCAGACTAACGAGGGTCCCCCAGAGGGGGTCAGTGTTACCATGTTCACTTGAAGTGTTTTCCTTTGACAAAGATTTCCCCAAGCTTGCATGTTCGCTGCTTGTCCCTTATGATATTTTTTGCTTTTTTCCCGTCTTCCCATTGTGAAGAATGGAAAGTGAGAAATACGTTTCTTTCATTCTGTCCACCTTAGATCTATCAGACTTTACCGCCAGCCTGAGTTCAAAGTTGAAACGTTGCCATGAAAATCACGAGGCCTGGAAACTACTCACTGGGGGCACTGGTGCCTTGCCCTTGCGTGATTTGGACAGAAGATTGCGTGCTAACGCAATGCAAAGTTCGTGCGTGTTTTCATCCGTGTCAGACGCACTACATTGTGTTCTCGCGGAACGCGAGCCATCGCTGACTTTTAGTCCTGAACATTCGCGCTTACCACGTGTTCTTTCGCATGTAAATCACGTGCAAGTTGTGGTAACTGGAAGTCTGCATCTCGTAGGAGCAGCTATGAAGGTTCTGGGACCAAGTATTGTAGAAGTTTGATCATCTCTGGGATAACCTGTTGTGATGTTGATTGTTTCATATAGCAAAGGCCTGGTTATACAAGGCATGAAGTAATTGATAAATATATATATATATATATATATCGTGAGAAATCCCATCACTACCATCAATAGAAACATTACTTTAGAAAAGATTTATTAAAGTGCTACTAACCTCAAATATGATTTTTGGCCTACGAAAATACGAAATATTTGGATTCTAAGAGGAAATGTAATGTATCTTTTTATATAATACCTTATTAAATTCTGATCGTTTAATTGGCTGTTTATGGTCACGTGATATTAAATAGAAAATTCCATATCCCAAGAGTGCAATGGAATACGTTCCATTGCACTCTTTGCGAGTGCAATTGTACTGTATGTTTTATTCCATTCCACTCTTGTGTCTTCGATAAATAGCATTTGTCAAAATGCTAAATAAATTATGTACGAATCTATTAGTCTATTTTGGTATTATATAAAACAAATAATGAATGTTTTTATACGTGCAATGGTAAGAATATTTTCATTCAGTGAAAGATTGAATGTTCCATTCAACTCTGCTGTCACCTCGTTCAATGTTACATTCCATCTTTCACCTCATGAAAATATTCTTACCATTGCACTCATAAACATTCATTATTTGTATAATAGTAAAAAACTCGTCTTGCTTGACTTTTTGGCTCATGAAGCTGCAGAATATGATGTCATTTGGGGAATTTTAGTTGGGAAAACTAATTTGCAAGATTCTTAACTTTTTTATTATAAAGATATATTACATTTCTTCTTAAAATCACCCAAGTCACCAAGTGACCCAAAACGCATACCAAAAATCATATTTGGTGTTAGTTGCACATATACTATGCATCATTTGTGATGGAGTTCATGTAATATAGCTGGTTGGTTGAATTTCCATGAAAGACAATATTACAAATACTCGTCAATATACAAGGAATATTTCATCATCATCATCATCATACAGAAGGAAGATTCATATATCATACAGTAATAAATATACTAATATCTATCATATTCGTTTTGTTCATTTATATGTTCACTAGATTGCCAAATTACTCTGTGGTTGTATTTTGAGCAGCCTCTTCTAGTTCACAAATGATATTTTCCCACTCTTGAAATTGTCTTGATAGACTGTTGATCTGCACAAAATTGTCAAGAAAAACAATTCAAAGCCAGGAAAATAGACCTAATTTACTTGAAAATGTTTTGTCTAAGTTATAGTCTCATGTACACTCAAGCAATCTGAAATGGAAACAGAAAGGATACAATATTGTTGTAGGTTGTCAAAAGTTCACAAACTTGTTCATCCAAGGTTTCTATCTCTTCCTAAATAATATGTAAAATAAAGAGTTAAAATGTCTGAAACGTGAGATTGCATGCACTTCTGATCTCGCTACAAGCCTGGTATCTTATTGGGTACCCGCACATCTTACCAGCTGTTGTATGTTGACTTGCACCAATGGTTGAAGTTTACATGACCATTCTGGTAAATCTAAAACATAAAGTCAGATATAACTAGATGCAAGGTTATTTATCAATAGTGATTGATCCGTTATACCTTTAAATGTTGCCTCACTAGGAATATTCTTGAATTGCTCCAAAGTCTGAAATTGTTCTGCTGTAGCCGTGAGTTGTTGTTCACCTATACATCAATATATCACATTGAGTATTTCTAGTAATATAAAATCTAATCGACTAGTATTTATAGTGTAACATTTTTTACCTGCCAAGATAATATCTGCCTTAGATTGATCTGTTAGTGTAAGTTTCTCAAGAAATTCTGGTGTCAAATAGTCCTGCAACTCATTCACTAGAACAAAATGTGTGGCTCTATAAGTATTTAGACAACTTTTAAACTCAGTGTTGTACAATTTTACGTATTAAATACATGTGTGTACATTTCATTATATAACTATTAAACTATATTAAAGTGAACATGACAAAACAATATTAAATACGTTTGAGATATTCTTCTTACATCTCTTCCACAAAACTCCAAGCTTTGAGTACCTCGTTGCAATTTTATTTAAATCTTGTTTCACTTGCGTCAAAGCATCTGTGCACTAGACACATAAATTCACATGATTTAATACATCTTTAAAACGTGTTTTAATACTTCAAAAACCTGTTCAATCTTTTCCAAAATGACACCAAATATACAACATTATCTATATAACGTACCGATGTTTTTATTTTGTCGGGATTTGTAGAAATAATACGTCTTTCAAGAACTTTAATTCTCTCTTCTAACATTGCTATGCCAGCATTGACCGCCATATTTGCATTCTACCACGAACAGACAATGGAAGAGACAGACAAACAGACATAGAGGGGCGAACAGACAAACAGACGGTTAACCAAACAGACACTGCACTGGTCAGTGAACATGGCTCTTTTCCAAAATTCCAAATGTTTTCAGAATTCCAAATGTCGTGCGTTTCATCTTTACTAAATACTGTCTATTCAGTCTTTAATGTCGTTTAAATATTACAATACCTAAGATGGTTTATACGTCTTTAATAGAGGACTGCAAGGTAAAAAGTGTGTTAATTATTAAACAGTTTCGAGAGTTTCACCTCGAGTTTCACAACTTGTGAGTCATAATTATTTTGATTATTTTACAGAAGTATGTGTGTTAATAACGTCGAGTACAGAGAGTTTGTGTAAGACAAAGCATTTGGTATGTATTTTGTTTTTTTTAACAGAGTTGCAATTTGCAAAGTGTTGTTTCACTTTAAATGTCAATAAATTTAAAACTCAATTATGGACAGTACTACTCTATTTAGGCTTGATAACAATTTAAACCATTAAGATCTGTCATATATAAATCATTCTCCTCATGCAGTGTAGCCGGGGCTGGTTCTATGAAGGCCGATAATAATGCCACAGAATATACTACACAGAAGGCCTGACTTCTTGGTTTTTCCTATGATTTTCCAATGATTTCAATGGCGTAACAGCAATTCGTCATCAAAATGCTGAGCCAGTGCGCGTTTGAGAGGCATTCACCCCCCTGATTCAAAATGGCGGACGCCCAAGGGGGGGGGATGCCTCTCAAACACACACTGGCTAGGACCATGGCGTCAGAATTTTAATGATGAATCATGACGTGGCAGCGGTTACTTGAGTCGACCTTCTGTGTGTGGCAGCGGTTACTCGAGTCGACTCTTTATTCTGTGATAATATTATGTTAGGAAAATTCATGATGTGGCAGACCTGCTACCTGATCCAGGTGTCACGCAATATCCCCAGTTTGTCAAATTGTTTATGCTTTTTGGTTCATTTATTTTGCCTTGTTGCAGTTTGAACAAAGTGTCATTGTTAAGATAAAGTTTATTTTAAAATTTTGCCAAATGATACAATTTGCCATATTTCTATACTAGTTAATTACTTTGATTATACATTACATATATTCTACAGTTATAAATTCCTATTATCAATCTATAATTTATTTTGTTGGACTATTGAGATCTATCTAGCCCACTTTGTGATATGCTGCCAGATGGTGCATTCTCGCTATCTTTCAAAACTTTCTGGTGATGTTGAGCAAAGTGCTGTAGCTGTTCTTCAAGGCTGTTAGTTTGAAGTTTATTTGGTGATTGTGACCACTCTGTAATCAACTGTGCTGCATCGTTACTGGCAGATAAAATATTTGCTACTTTAAATAATAATTCTTGATCAATATTTTGAATTGTGTCTTGAGGTGTCTCCTCGCTGCCACTGCCAGACTGTGATGTACCCTCGGCTGTTTTCTGCCTCGTTGATTCAGGAAATATCATTTCTTTACTCTGGACATACTCAACATGGTTGTGGTTGCTATCACTTGCTTCAGAGTCAAAATGTGCCTGGGTTTCGTGTTGCGAAAGTTGATTTAAGTGTTCAACAGGACTGTGGAAGGAAGTTCCTAAATCAGAAATTATTATCCTTGACTTGTTGACATTGGTCACCATTTAAAACCTTGCACTTTGTCACCATATAATTTTACGCTCAGGACAATGGCATAATAGATTATGTTATCCACAGCAGATGGTGCTCAAACAGTGTTTATCTGAGTGATCATTTTGATTCATATATTTGGCAGCTAAATACAGTTGAGAGAGGGTTTATTGTATCAACATATTATCCTACACATAATCTATATAATACAGCCCCTCACATGTTTTCACGTCCACGTGTTTCTGCACTGGTCGCCCTGGTATAACTGTATAAAGATTATGTATGGTATAGTAATATTGGATCCCCTATGGTTTCATTGTCTTGATAAGTGTCAAAATACCACATCATGAAATTGTTCATCATGTGTTATTCTCCTAATGTCTACTAAAATGTGTAGGACATATTTACCACATTCGTTATTGCTCTGTATTCTGTTTCGATCTTGTGTTCCACCAATGGCTTCATCAACCAGTTTTTGGAACTTCTCTTGCTGTTCCAACTGTCGTTTGTCCTTGGCGCGTCTGTTTTGAAACCAAATTTGAGTTCGTTCTTCTGGTAATCCTATTTCTTCCGAGATCGTTTTGCGGCGCTTGAGATCGGGATATTTGTATTTCTTAAAATGTTTTTCCAAGATATCAAGTTGTTCTGGATTGAAAATTGTCCTGCTACGACGGAACTTTGGACGTCCTGCAGTGACATATTTAGGGCGTATAAATTTGGGTACTTACAGTGTCCATAATATACATTTTGTACTGCTTATATATATATATATATATATATATATATATATATATATAGTGAGTAATTAGTGTATCTTGCGTTGTTGTGCATTCTAAGATGTATCAATTATGGGCACAAATTGAGAGTGTTTAAAGAGTTAAAATGTTACAAACCATCGCTGCCGTATCCGTGTATGGTGAGGTTTCCATTGGCTTCAGTGAGATGCGAGTACGGGTTCACATAAGGATAGTACCTGTGTTGCGCGAAATACTGTGGTGGCAGTAAATGTTGATAATTTGTTGTTGGCTGGAAATAATCATTGCTCACTCGCATCACTTCACGCAGTTCACCTGAATTATCACTCATTTCCTGTCTTTTAGTGGGATAATTATTGCTCATTATTGTAACACACTTTTTCTTGCTCCTGTTTAGCGCGATTTCTCTTCTCTTTGTTACGTCATTAACAAGCTTTATACGACGTCAGCAAACTGTAACGGTTTTGCCTGCGTCAACAACGCAACAGCGAGATTTGAGCACGTGTTCGCGTAAAACTCTGCCGCGCGCGCGTACCCGCGTCTTTCAAAGTTTGTGGAATGTCTGAGCGTGTTTTTCGCACAAAACAAAGCAAAACAATCGTACATTTGTTCACTATGCAAAACATAGAAGGAATTATTGCAGGTTTATATTATTGTTTTTGCTTCAAAGGTTCTTGTTTATAATTTAATATAAAAAATTCCATAGTTTTACCAGTCAATGAACAGGCGTATCAAAAACATTATTTGAAAACCACTTTAAAAAGATAAACAAAAGTCACCAAATTAAGAAACGTATAATAAAACAAGAAAACGTTGAACAACACTATTTTGGCGAAGTTATGATCAATTTTATCTTCGGTTACTCATTTTTGAACGCATTATATTGTACAAGACAAGTTGTGTAAATTTGTACCCTTTTCAATTCTTTACTTGGACAAACATGGAATTATAAAGTTTGTATTTGAACAAACAAGTCATTGTTCTGAACAAGTATAGAATGTTTTGTCCTCGTTTACGAAGCTCTTCTTTGACTTTTTATATTATTGGTGTTGTGACTGGGGTAATAGCTTCTTATTTCATGATGGAAAGCAAGAGCCGTGATACTTCCCAGGAGTTTGCAAGCAGATCAAGGCCTGCAAAGCGATATGACGTTCCTATAGTATTTATAGGAGGACATCCACGGAGCGGTACAACACTCATGAGAGTTCTTCTGGACGCACACCCGTCTTTTCATTGCGGGCAAGAGACGCATATTATTCCTGATTTATTAGCATTACAACGCAAATACAGCCGCGGACGAAGTTTAAACCGTCTTCGCGAGGCGGGACTGGGTTTGGAGCTCATCAATACAACTATAGCTGAGTCAGTTCTCAATATTATCAAATCACGTGGAGATTCGAAACGACTCTGCAACAAAGATCCATTCACGTTAAAACACGTTTCTTTTCTTGCGCGAATGTTTCCCAACGCACAGTTTATTCTAATGGTTCGCGACGCACGCGCTGTCATTCATTCAATTCGTACAAATAAAATTAGAATTTCTCGTTTTCCTAAAACGGATTCCAAAGCTTTACGTCGATGGAATAAAATCTTAGCCATCATGTTTCAAGATTGTTTGCGTGTCGGACATGAAAGGTGTAGAGTTGTACATTACGAAAGTCTTGTTTTGAAACCGCGTTTAGTTTTACGAGAAATGTTGCATTTTCTACGAACTCCATGGAGTGAGAATGTTATGAATCACACTGGGTATCTGGACAGAGCAGGAGGGATTTTATTATCGAGGTACGTATCAACCAGTTACACAATACCGCGGATTCGCTTGTCACATCGAATTTAAGCGTTGCCGGCCACTTAATACTCGAAATTGCGATGACAAAATAAGAGGAAAACTGTGAGGAGAGGAAAATTTTATGACCGGACATTCCATAGAAATATTAGACCTGAGCGGCTCATGTCGTTGCAAGTGAGTCAAGCCTTGCTCGCAGGCTAAAGTGAATCTAGCCAAACGCCTGCTCGCAGGCTAAAGTGAATCCGAATGAAGTAACTGGTAACGCTTACTAAAATCTGTTGCAGTCAAATGGAGTATTTCTTTATTTCTAAAACATAGACTAACCCTATATTTCATGTATATTTTCCAGCTTAGAAAGATCAACTCACCAAGTACGCAAGCCAATATATACGGACTCCTTACATTTATGGATGACGTCATCGTCCTTAAATATCTCGTCAGAGCAACTGGTAGCCTTGACCCCAATGATGGAAAGTTTAGGATATATAGGGATAGGAGATCCTCCCAAATATACGAAGTTGAGACACGAACATGGTTGACTAAATTATTGATGGTTTTCTGACAGCAGATGTTGACACAAGAACCAAAACAATTGAACTACATTTCTTAAAGTAAACCATAACCATTCATTTGCCTTCAAACACAAGATGACTGCAGATGATGAAAAGATTATTTTCTCACTCTGATTAGTGGTGGATGATTACAGTTGTTCTTAAAGCCTATCATCACAGAAGAGGAGGCATATATATAGTATATTAATCTATAGTGATATAATAAAGAACGTTTAGTTTTTGTAGATTTTATTTATCTCTTTTCTTTACAAGACTTGAAGTTGCATGCTTATTTTGTACTCAAAGAAAAGTGATAGTTTTGGTTGTGATTGCTGTCCCACTTCAGATTATGTCGATATCCGCTGAAGTAGAACCAGATTATGACTTTTTGAGCATCCTTTGGGATGTCATAAATTGTCGTCATAATGGGATCACCCCCCTGATTTCCTCCTTGCAACATCTGTTGAACCACTGACCCGTTCTTGGAGAACTGCGCATGTGCGAAGATATTCCACGCGTAGCCCATACCTAGGTTGACAAAAAGTATTAGTACCGTCTTGGGTTGATCACAGGGTTGGCATGTTTTAAAATGTGATGTTGTTTACATAAACCTACCTAAGTACCCAATATCACGCCATGGTAACCGTACTGAATCGTAAACTACTTGAAACTTTCCTCCAGGTTGCAGAGCCCCTTTAACGTACTCGCGCCAGTCTCCTGTAAACACAATTTGGGTGAAGGGAAATATGTAGTTTTTATTGAAATTACTGTCGTATGAATAACCATTGTAATAGCCGTGATGTTTGAACCAGATGATGAATGCTGTTGCGTTGCTTGGGATTTCTAACGTTGCTCTCATAACGCCATATTGATTCGGACCTTCCAGTAATACAGAGAGTGCTTTTCCCCCCTCGGAATATTGAAACTCGGCAAATATATCCCAGGCTCTCTGACCGTATCGGGTATCTCGGTTTGGTAATCTTGATGCATCATACTCTATGCGAACTTTGTCCCCAGGTACCAAAGTTCCGTGCAGGGTTTCTTTCCAATCTTTACTGAACACAATCTTGGTAGGTTCACTAAAACCAAGTGTTTGTTCGTAAGTAATTCGAACGATCTGCAAGTATCCGCAAAGTCTAATCTGCAGATATGTTCAAATAGGAAACTGTGTATACATTCACTGTATTACTGACACATTTGTTAATGTGGGTGGGGGCAGCGGCGTAGCCAAGGGCCGGTTGTATAAAACTCTTAATCACTTTTTTAATCATATTTTGTAGTTAAATAGTGATTAACTCTCAAATACGCGCTTCTTATTGGATGACGTTTCCACTAACTATAGTTAACTTTAATCACTTTTTTATACAACCGGCCCCAGATCGATAACTGGGGGGGAGGGGTCCATATTCATATATTCGTTAAAAACAATCGATTTCAAAAGAAATTAATAATGCAGAACATGAATATATCGAGCTGGCTACGCCGCTGGGTGGGTGTTTCTTCACAACTTCTGCCAGCTACACAGGCTTGGATCAGAACTGTAGTTGTCCCCCCAATTTTACCTCACACCTACCTAGTCGGCATCCCGCTAGCTTCATCAGCCATCTCTGAAAAGCAAGCAAATTTTTTGTAGGGTTTGACATTATGTTTTTTATCTAGGACATTGTGGCCAAGCAAAGTCGCAAAGACCTAAATTAGTGGTCCATCACACTGTTTAAAGATCCTCGATGTTGGTGAGTAACAAATTAAGCTTATTAATGTTGTATTAAGATTCTTTTCACTTCATAATTGACTGGTACTTTCCTGTATCGTACTTCATCTTACCTTCATCTTGTTGAAGCAGAGCAGAACAGAGCAACAGTTGCAAACATAAAAACACTAGAACGACCTTCATCTTGTAATCTCTTAGTGAGAACTGTTCACTACGAAATGTGACCCCGAATATAAGATATGATAATGTTTTATAATGACAAATAATTTGCAATTGTTTACACTTAATTTAAATCATATTTTCTTGCCCGAAAGTGTGTACATATTATCAGTTCAAAGCTCTAAGTGCGCGTGAGCAAAAGTCACGACAAACATTTTCAAAAATATTTACGTGGTCTGGTATACATGGAAATTTTACTTTAACGACAACGCTTTTTTGAATGATATTTATCAGGCTAAAAATGATCAACCAGCTGCCGTATTATAACAACTAAAACAATGGCTTACAACAAATGTACGCATGTTTGTCTCACTATTTAAAACATCATTTACTCGTGGTAAACACTAGTTTATACCTATTCAAATCGGCTTTTAATATCCGAAAACCTTTAATTATCGAATTGGTGTTCATATTTGGTTTTGTTAAGTATTTTAATTATCCAGCGCAACATTATTTGTTCAGGCGATCTGATCGCCATCACGGAAAATTTGACAAAATTATGCAATTGAAGCGCTGTTAGTCCTCGCTGTCGTATATATCATTTGAGATTAAATAGTCTGAGTAAAAATGACCATGTTGAATTGTATCGCGCTAGTGAGTTAAAAGCATAGATATCTTATATACACTAGATAGCGCATCTCTTTTAGTAAAATTGAAGCCAAGAATATTCCAGCAGTTACCCCCATTTGAATAGATGGCGGCCATGTTGGTAGTTCTCACACGCTAATAAACGCTTAAGAAACAACAATAACTTTCATCATTTGAATAGTTTGAAAATGTATTTGGAATAGGTTTAACTTAATGTTTCAGTTCCCTGCAGTTTAAGAAATAGAAAACATACGAATCTTCTCATTTCATGGGAATATCCTGACTCTGCAATCACGGCTTCAATTTTTGAATTGCAGAATAATTAGATGCACTATCTAGTGTAGGCTATATCTATATTCTATGATTAAAAGTAGGCAACAGTCTCATAACCAAAACTAAGTAATTTATTTAAAGAAATGTGATTACAAGACTGCACAACATAATGCAAACAATACATGTAAGTGATGAAGTGCTGTTCCAAGCCAATAACTCTTATCCGAGGGGTGTATCACTCACAAAAATCTCGTACATCTTGAAAAAATCCCTTAAAAGTTCCTGAAAATCCCTAATAAATCCCCGGAAATCTTTAATAACTCCCTAAAGATCTCTAAAAATCCCTAGAAAATCTCGTACACTATTTTTGGAGCGCTACTCTAATGAGTGTAATCTAATAACCTAGTGGAAAGTGATAGTTAGCTCCGAAATTACTGTCATAATGTCTTTCGTCTCCTCTTTTTGCATAAAACCACATGATCACTTCTTCTGCGTCTTCCGAGACATGGAAAGATGTGACGTAATAACTATTGTGAGGATTTGTGAGCTCATGTGTTATGGAGCTCCCAGAAGCTTTGAACTGTGCGACTGCGTATAGCCTGAAACCACCACTCACGTCCAGTCTCCCGGTGGAGTAGTACACTTGGAACTTCTTCCCTTGTTCTAGAGGTCTTCCATATTGATCTTCTGTGTAATCTGCATGAAATACAAGAGTTGGTTCCTTTACTTCATGTACTTGTTCTTCATAGTTCTTACCATAGTCACTGTCCCAGTGAATTCCACTTGTTGCTCCCGAAAACTTAAACCAGATGGTCAACTTTGATGTACCAAAAGGAAGGAAGATCTGTGTTGTCAATATTTCATGACCTGGAATAAAAATTATTCTGGAATAAAAATTATTGTGATATTACTCAGATCAAACCCAGCAAGTTGAAAAATTGCTTGCTTGAACACCCGACTTAAAAATGACAAGTAGGGGGCTACCTTCAATCATTATTGGTCCTTGCAATAATTGTTGATGTACTTTTCCGTCATCAAACTTGAACTGAGCAAAGATATTCCATGCTCTCTGTCCATACTTCATATCTCTCCACGGTAGTCTGGCTCCATCATAGACTATCAATACTGAGTAACCAGCAACCAAGTCACCAAAGACTGCTTCAGACCAATTATCAGTGAATACCCATATAGCTTCGTTCCTGAAAAGAGAATCAATCAATAAATGAATAAGCTTCTGTGGTTTGTGTTTGAACTATCGAAAAAGGCTGGAATATAAAATATATACCTAGATTTCCAGCGACTTTTGTTAAATGCAACTTCCACTTCTTCAATTTCCGATGTTGGGGCTTTCTTTGTAGTTGCTGGTCTTATCGTTACAGGAGTTTTCTTTGTAGTTGCTGGTCTTATCGTTGCTGGAGTTTTCTTTGTAGTTGCTGGTCTTATCGTTACAGGAGTTTTCTTTGTAGTTGCTGGTCTTATCGTTACAGGAGTTTTCTTTGTAGTTGGTAGTACTATCGTTACAGGAGTTTTCTTTGTAGTTGCTGGTGCTGTTATTGCCGATCGCTTGCTTTCATCATCATCATAGAAATCTCGCTTGCTTTCATCAACGTCGTAGAAATCTCGCTTGCTTTCATCAACGTCGTAGAAATCTCGCTTGCTTTCATCAACGTCGTAGAAATCTCGCTTGCTTTCATCATCATCATAGAAATCTCGCTTGCTTTCACTATCGTCGTAGAAATCTCGCTTGCTTTCATTATCGTCGTAGAAATCTCGCTTGCTTTCATCAGGTTTATAATCCTGGAGACGATTTAGTTTTTCCCAGAAATTTCGTTCTCGTTGACCTGAAATTTACAGAAATACAAGATCATATCACATATGTTTTTTTAGCATTTATTTTTGTCAATATTGTTGTTCTTGTATTGTTGTGTTTTCCCTCCTAATTTGTTCAGTTTGTACTATGCACGATCAATACTACCATATAACTGAATTTCAATTGACAGTTAGATTAATTTTTCTGTAATAAACTGCCTTGTTCTGGAATAGATTAAAGTCTGTACCAATCCACTATAAGTGTTGTTATATACGTTTTTATATTATATGTTCAAACAATCGAAGATAAGTTCGTTCAAGTATCCACTATTATTTTAAGATCAGTGGCCATCAGTCAACCAGCAAAGCGAATATATTAATGTAGAAAATTTTCCGCAATGGCTCATAACACTATAAGATATTCCTGTTTAATTTCCTGCTTGTTTTATCGCTACATTTAAATAATTAGAAAACTGCTCATGATCAGCTGCAATTTTCGGAATATTCTTGAAGTCGGGTTTGAAAACATCTTTATTTAAGTAAATTGCTTTGCTTATTTAAGTAAACTTCTCTTCTTGCAGCGGTTGAAGTTTGTTTTTCCCTTTTTCCTTTTTAAAATTTTCAATTCGAAAATATCTAAATAACTTTAGAAGTGAAATATGCAAGATTTATTTTCTTTTTTCTTCATACTCGTAGCAATCCTGCTTGTGACAGCTCTGTCATCAGCTGGAGTCGCATCAAGAGTTTCCTCCTCGCGGGGATTAAGTTACGCTTTTCCCCTAGAAATTAAGGCATTTATATTATCCCTATTATTTTTTATATTTAGAGAAATGAAATATGATTTTCAATGTTGTTCTTTTTTAATTGTATAATTTAGAAGATGTTTTCCTTTGTAAAATGGATAATATTGAATCATCGACGGAAAGGTATGTCCTACTTCTACTTTATTAAATAAATTTCTTTTCTAAAATAATTTACAAGAAACCACCTACATTTAGCAAGCGATTTAACCATCTCTCGTCTGTACAGTTATTTTGTTTTTTTAATTCCCCATATTAGTGATACTAACTAACTACATCCATATTTGTTAAGTCGGTAAAATCCTTTCGAATGTATGTGAGAATATGCAAACGGAGCATGAGTCGGGGTGGGGAGAGCATTGATTGAAGTTTTCCCCTATAGATAAAACATTGCAAACGGAACATGCTGGGGTGGGGTGGGGAGAGCATTGATTGAATTTTTCCCCAGGGACGTGCTGGCCAGTTACGAGCCAACGAGAACTTGTTGTGCGCCCCTGCTATCATGGGCCCCTAAAATGAAAATATTGGAAAAAATGAAAAATATAGATTTTAATTTTGAAAATTAAGACATTACAATTGATATTGTAAAAATTTAAATTTATGAACATATTACGGAAAAATTTAACAAAATACGATATGTCCGGAAAAATATTTGTATGCCCGGCAAAATTACGATATATCCGGAAAAATATTTGTGCTTTCGGAAAAAATGGGCGCCCTCCCCCCTGCCAACAATTTTGGGGAAAAAATATTAATATTGACGTATCTATAACCGGACTTGGACCCTTTCACACGTTACTCATTCGTTGTTCTTTTTAAGACACCAGCACGTCCCTGTTTTCCCCTATATATAAAACATTGCAAACGGAACCCTTCGGGGTGGGGAGAGCATTGATTGAAGTTTTCCCCTATAGATAAACATCTTTTATTGAATCATAATTTGTGCAATTGGATATGTGCAATTTATAATTTATGTTCCCCTCATATTCTATAGGTATAAGAAGAAACATGGTAATATTGAAGAACTAATTAGGTATGTCGTAATATATCTATGGCTATTTATCTATTGTGAGGCTGCGCAAACTGAAACAAGTCCTGACCTGAAATCCATTCCCGCTATCCTTTGTCGTAATCCATGCCTATACATTGTCCAACTGCATGGCGCACCCGTTCACTTGGGCGTATTTATTCTTAGTCGAACTGAATGACACATTGATGGGGATTATTTAGGCCAACAACCCTCTCTCTAGTGGTCATAGGCTTATAAGACAACCACAAATATATTACATCGTGTACTACAAATAAGCTTACAAAGAAATTCAGATGATGGATAAAGTAACTAAATGAAGAGCGCCAGTACAACTAAGGAGTACGCTATAATGGGCATGATTAGTCTTGAATGATTTAACAACCAAGACAAATATTGATGTACTTACTCAGATGAGGTTTTGCAAGACAGCCAGTAACTACAAGCAGCAGTAGTGTTAACTTCATGTTGAAAAAACGTTCAGCAGATTTCCTTTGCTTCAACAACTCTGCCTGCTCTGATACCTTTGCTTCTAAAATGCTTATGGTTCATTGCTTCCACGGTTCTACTCATTTGCAATATTGTATAAGCCAATCAGAATAACGTATATGTATGTCAAGTTAACCAATCAGACATTTCGAAGTTGAATTGCAAATCATTGAAATAATAGCAATTTATATAGAAGTCGCTTGATCACCACACCGTAAAATTAAAACTTTCTTATACTCATTTGTTGCATACTGACCTTCAGTTAAAGTCATTTATATTGTAAAATTGCCAATCACAAGTTGCTAGAAGTTTGTAACGTGGAATTCATTTCACGGATGACTGTATGTTTTGAATCAAAGGCAATTTAGGCTAAATATGACTTGCTCTGTTAAGCTACCGATAACCCTTGGGACTTGCAAAGACAAAACAGACAGATTTTTCTTTTGAAATTTATATTGTTCCTCTTAGCTTATGCTTTTTGCTTTGAGCTTGTGTCGAAGCTTATGTCGCATGCTTTGCTATATTTCTTTGTTTTGGCTTTTCTTCTCATCTCGTATCAACAAAGGTTTTTAGCATAAATTTCGAGATTCGTGCTTGCAGTGGCTAGTGAATTTTCTGCACAAATATATTGGTTCCAAGAAGGTTACGATTTCTCTCATCTGCACTGGTTAGAAGAAATATAAGAATATTTTCTCTCATGCACAGAACATTTCTGAAATATTGTTTTGCTTTGAATCACACATTTATCTGGCGCGAAGAATTAAATAAACTGCGTTCCAGCCTACATGCAGCCCCTGCTGCACCATGGGAAGGTCACACGCAAATTCTGCAGGGCGTGCGGAGTCACTATTTTCTTAATTAAATATGCAGTAATAAATTTTAATAATTAACTAGCGATCGTTTCAACCAATCACAATACAGCTTTCGGCAAAATTGTGTCTGATTGATCTGTTGAATTTTTTACTTAGCAGCCGTGAAAATTAATTTTATTTTACGCGCAAAACTGTTTCTTTTACGGCCTCTATTAAGGCCTGATTCCACTGGCGCTTTTTCTCGGCGAAATGCGAAATATTTCGCCTGATTGTGAGCAATCAAGTAGAAATAATTTATTCGGCGCAAAACTGTTTCTTTTACGGCCTCTATTAAGGCCTGATTCCACGGGCGCTTTTTCTCGGCGAAATGCGAAATATTTCGCCTGATTGTGAGCAATCAAGTAGAAAATTTATTCGGGTAGTCGCAATTGAAAAGAATCAGGCGAAATAATTCGCATTTCGCCGAGAAAAAGCGCCCGTGGAATCAGGCCTCTATAATTAATCTGAATTTTGTAAGCTTTCAGCTTAAACTTTTGGCACTCACTGTTTTAGTTCTCAAATAAAACTTTGGCGTCCAAACTTCGTGCTGACAAATTATGGCATTGGCTATGGCGTAAGCAATAGTGTTTAATGTTGTTTGCAAGATTCTGCAGTCCCAGTAAAAGTTGTGACCTTCCCATGAAGCACGAGGGCCTGTGGTAACACTCACTGACATTGATGTAGATGATATTCAATGCAACCTTACGGATCAAAGTGTAATTATTTCCTAGACTAGAGTTAGTTTTGGTTAAGTAAAATTTCGTGTTTGAAAATGGTGGATATAGCCTTTAGAGAATATAGAGATTTGGAACTCAGTTTTATTAATCAAAACAACAATGATTACAACACTACAAGCCACTAAATATTATGACTTGAGACAATTACTACGTCACTCTGTGATCTGGACTAAAACATAGAATCCACTCCAAAATGAACATCACTAAAATCGTCTTCCACTCATAATTGAGTGTAAATCTATATGAGTAATTATCTCACTATGTCAGTTTCCAAGTCAAAATGTTCCAAGTTAAGACAAAGTAAAGTGATAGTTCTTTCCATAGTCACTGTCATACTGTTTCTTTCCGTCGGAATCTTCATAGTAGAACCACATGACGAGTTTCTCAGCATTGTCAGGGATGGAAATTACTGCAGTTTGATAAGTTGAATCATCGCTTTGAAGTGTTTTATCAACAACAGTGTCATCAAGAAATTTCATCTGTGCTACCACTTGACTGCCTTCCTTCAATCTTTTTGAATCATAGAATAGATCAAAATTTCCTCCCGGGGCCAGATCACCATGCTGTTTTTCTTGCCAATCTTTTAAGAACACAATACTTGGTCTGTTGATCGGGAAATTATAGTTTCTTCCGTAATCACTGTCATAGTCACTCCCTTTATCATCATTACGCTCGTGTCTGAACCAAATCACAACTTTGTCAGCATCAATAGGGATTGAGATTGTCTTATGGTAGAAACCATTCGTATCTGCGTCTCCAAGGCTTTCAGATTTGAAGTCAGGGCCGTCATTAAACTTATACTCAACTAAGACTGGCGCAGCAAGACGTGATTTAGCATAGTTGATTTGAAAGTTTCTTCCAACACCTAGTTCACCATGAACAGTTTCTTTCCAGTCGGCTGTAAAGTCGATGCTTGAAAGAGGTGCATTCACTTCATTTTCCCTGAAACATTGAGAAAATATCTTTCTTAAGTACAACATTACATAAAATTGAAACATTTTGAAAACTGTTAAAAACTTCCCCTCCACACAACACTGTACGACTTTAAAACAAAGAACTCTTTTACACTCAACAAAATTGTAGCAATTAACTATTAATTTGACTCAGCCAGTACAAGGTATGCGAGGGCGGAAACCAACTAGTTTCTCAAAGCCGTTCAATGGTAGAAAATTGTATCTAAACTCGGCGAAGTGGAACCAACAGAATGAATATCAGGAATATATTAACAATGTTCCACAAAACTATTCTATTCGCATGTAATTCAATTAACGCCTTTATATTTTTATTCCGTTCACAAAAACGTCTGTGCAAAATTTTGCTTTAAGCGTACCTTTTTTCATTCACCAAGAAGTCATAATATTCTCGGTCGTTAGCTAAAAGAAATCAAATTACAATTACTATAAGTTATAATTACAGAGATTTAAAAATAGACAACGCCTTCTGAGGAGCAGCAGATGATCTACCAGAGTGAGAATATGGTCGTTGATGTAATAATAATTTTTAATAAGGGATGTCTGATTCACCTTGCGGTGTTTTTCATCGGGTGGCAGTATTTTGGGCAGATAAATGGAATTGAGAGATTGCCATAATTTGTTTGCCCTAGAAGTATCAGTAACTTTGTCTGCAAGGCTCACTAAAAGACCTCAATACCTAGGAGTATCGTGTCTGCAAGGCTCACGGAAAGACCCCAATACCTAGAAGTATCGTGTCTGCAAGGCTCACGGAAAGACCTCAATACCTAGAAGTATCGTGTCTGCAAGGCTCACGGAAAGACCCCAATACTCACCTCGAAATTTCGTGCTACGTGCATAACATACAGTGAGGAATGTGAGAAGCAAAGTTTGCACCAGAGTTAACTTCATCTTCAAATCTTTCTTGCTTTCACCTTGTTTTCTTCACTCCGACCAGCTTTCAATCCAAAGACGCTGCACACAATTTCTCCTCTCGTATTTATGCAGAAATCGGGCTATCCTGTCGACCAATCATATTGAAGTATCATACTAAACTACCAATCATCTTACGAGCAACCAGGACAATAGTGATTCAGTTGACTGGTAACGTAAACAGGGCACAGAACGTCAACACATTAACTCGACTGGTCAACCGAGTCAGAATTTTCCTCTAATCAGACCAAGTTAACAAAGAATGACAATAATTTGCATTAATAATGACTTGCATTCAAAAGTGGCTGATGGTTGAACAAAGAGTTTTCAGAAATAAGCTTGACAGATATCATTTGCATTCAATAAGGCGCAGATCAAAAGTTGCGCTTATCATCTGAACTGACCTGCGCTCATTTGCATTAAATTCAGTGCATGAAAAGTTTGGCGTTTAAACTAGGAGTAAGTAAATTGCATTCTGATCATGATGTCTGACTTTTGGAATTTAACAGTCGCCAGACTAAGGAACAAAAAATTTATCGAAAATAGACTTTGCAATAATCACAAAGGGGCGTGCATGAGTATGTGATTGATGTCTGAAATGCGTGAGTGAATTATTCGAGCGAATCATAATTTGCATCCAATAAGAGGCAAATATTGATAATCATTTCATAGTTACTTAACTTCGTTGTTCAAGCGCATTCATATCTAAAATTTCACATGTTGAGCTTCAATAGAAAGGAAATTGAATTCCTGAGTATATAGTTCCAAACTGAATGGTACGATTTGTTAGTACTTTTCTAGGGTGCTAGCCTTCTTGTAGAGTACACGACTCTTACAAAAACTGATGTTTAAAGGCTGGCCACGACATAAAGCCGCCCTTAAAGCCTGCCGCACACGAGAGCTATCTGCTGAGCAAAAAGTTACTCGTGCCTGTTAGCTCAGCAGATAGCTCACCGTGTGCGCGTACATTTTACTGAGTTTTTTGCCTCATGCAACCTTTTCTCACGTATCAAACATGTTTGATCGGTGAGCTATCAGCTGAGCTAACAGGCACGAGTAACTTTTTGCTCAGCAGATAGCTCTCGTGTGCGGCAGGCTTAAGAGACAGGCACGCTCCAAATACAATAGATCCTTCTGTTAGCGTTCTTCCCTGAGTGTCGATGTATCCTGGGTCTAGCTTGTCTTGCGTGCAAATCTATTCTTACTGATACCTTGCACTGGTACCTTGAAATCAAGTTTTTGCGTACTGGTGAGCAGGAAATTAGTGATAGCAAGCTGATAGTGAACAAGTTAACCAGGACTGTGGTTAAATGAACCAGGAAATTTAACCAAAGTTACCCCAAACAAGGTTCATTGTAGATTAACCAGGGTGTTTTTAGATAGTGCAATTAAAAACTCCATTCTCATGACGGCAAAGAAACACAATGGACGCCCATTTGATTTGGTTCAATAGCTGCACTTCACTACACATGAATGAATGTACATCACAACTCATCATTTTAGATTAACCATGATGTTTTTAGATTGTGCAATTAAAAACTCATTATCATGATGGCAAAGACTGTTGAAGAAACGCAATGGCCGCTCATTTGATTTGGTTCAATAGCTGCACTTCACTACACATGAATGAATCTACATGCAAGAACGCACAACTCATCATGCATGTTAACAGAGACGCTTCCTTGTTAGCTCATTGACAATTTCTGACAATTAACCAAGAGAACTTGATCATTATATTAGTTAGCGTAAGATGATTATTATGTTCATATATTGTTGTTAGCTCTTTTGCATTGGATTCGGTCATGAAAAGTTCGACTTTTCACCTAGGCCTAAGAACTTGCATTCAATATTAAAATTCGCTTTTAGTCAGGCGGCTTAGTACTCGCGGCAGGACATGTTGCGGTTGATGGCTGAACTGTGGAATTTGCCAATCACCAGACCAAACTAACAAAGAGTTGTCGGAAATACCTGGGCAAATAATAATTTGCATTCAATAAGTAGCGCATTAGTATGCATGCAGGCAGTGAAGAGGTTATTACAAATATTGATCTTCAGTTCATGCTTACTTAACTTTGTTGTTGCGCCCACATTTGGTACATGCCACAATGCACAACTTGCAGAAGTGATGAGTTAGAAGGCCAACTATGCATTTGCACTCTAAAATTTCACATACTGAGCTTGAATAAGGGCCCACAGTCTCTGCTGTTGCGGTGACCAGACCTTTTATGTTCGGTATTTCTTTGCAGTGTGTGGATCTCATCTGGGTCTAGCTTGTCTTTGGTGGGTCTAGCTTGTCTCTGTATCTAGCTTGTCTTTGGTGGGTCTAGCTTGCCTCTGTATCTAGCTTGTCTCTGTATCTAGCTTGTCTCTGGTGGGTCTAGCTTGTCTCTGTATCTAGCTTGTCTCTGTATCTAGCTTGTCTTTGGTGGGTCTAGCTTGTCTCTGTATCTAGCTTGTCTTTGGTGGGTCTAGTTGTCTCTGGTGGGTCTAGCTTGTCTCTGTATCTAGCTTGTCTCTGTAACTAACTTGTCTCTGTATCTAGCTTGTCTTTTGTTCGTCTAAAGATATATCAACACTATATCGCTACCTCACATTTTTGCATACTTGTCCTAACATTCTCATGAAATTGAGAATCCAGTTATCATGACACAAAGTATCATACTGAATGAATATTTGAGGACGCCCATTTGATTCGGTTAGCTGCACTTGACTACACATGAAAGAATCTACATACAACAACTCACCCATGTTAGAAAGCGAGTTTAGAAATTACATTTTACGCCTAACATAACTTCTCAGCACTGGAAATAAATGATCGTTCTACCTCTTAAAATGTTTTCAGTGTCTACCATAGCGAAGCCGAATTGCTATTCAAAGTTATCATATGGACATGAAGTGCTATCATGCAGCAGATGGCATGTTGTGCATGTCTTCAAAGGCTAGTTTCCACTCAGGAAAATTATCCGTGGATTGGAACGGACAAGAAAATTGTTCTTTGTGTTAAAGTCATTAGTTCCAACCCAGAGCTCACAAGACAAAGAAAACTTTTCTTGTCCGTTCCAATCCACGGATAATTTTCCTGAGTGGAAACTATAGCCTTTACCTTGGCTCAGGTGGTTTACAATTTCCTAATTCCTGAGTGCCAACGCTATTGAATTTTAAACTTGCATATTTCAAATCTATTGAAAAGAATGAAATTATTTTCTCACTCAGACAAATGCAGGTTGAGCACCTGCTGCATGATAGTGAAACCTTGTTTGTTCTACATCCTAAGTACATTGCGTCTGAAGCGTGTTACAGGAGATAGAGACAGATGTGAACAGTGGCAGAAATCTTGGGGGGGGGGTCCCCCACCTTCGTGAAAAATTACGAAGTTTCGGAAATTTTGGCTTTAAAAGGGCTAAAAACAGCCTTTTCGAGTGCAAATGGGGGGGTTTGTTGGAATTTTGAAAGTTTTGTCGGAAACTTAGAAGGCTTCGCCCCCCCCCCCCCACCGGAAAAAGTGAATTTCTGCCACTGGATGTGAACAAGGTCACCCCTTTGAACAAGTTCTCAACAACATTGTTGCGACATCACTTACAACAATGCGCTTGACAACTTGGGCTGCAACACAACCTTGTCTTGATATCAACCTGAAACAAGTTGCATGTTTTTGCGCACGAGACATGTGGTGAGCATATCTTAATCAGTTACTTTATGTTATTTCAACTGTAGTTGTATCAGTAGAGTCTACTTTAGGGTCCTTATGTTCCACGATTACCACGTCAGGTTCCTCAATCACCTCGATATCCTTCAAAGTCTTGTCTTCTGCGGGGTCATCCAGGCTGGGCCAGCTTGCAGGCTGCTCTAGTTTACTCATTCGTTCATCGAGAGCTTTCAGGGCTTTTTGTCTGCAAATATAACACAATATAGTTCACCTTAGTGAAGCATACCTGCTTGTTTCTTAAACAGAAGTTTTGAACACTAAAGCATTTTTTTTATATGGTACAACAAATTGATACTAGTGACCAAAAGTTGCAGCAACTTAACTATATAAACACATAGGCAGATTAACACATCAAGTGCCAGTGCTCTCCCCTTGATGAGAGCAAAATATATATATTCTACCTAAAAAAACCCAATATATATATTCTACCTTCTTCTTTCAGCATCAGCTGGGTCCATTCCTGGCAGGCTGATGGTGATGGCTGACGGAGCTCCTACATCGTAAGTTCTGATTGGTTTTGAACAAATATTGAACTTGATTAACCAGTTGAACACCAAGTTTGAAACTGTAGATACTGGTGCCCTGAAATATAAACATACTGCATATGGAATATGGAATGATGTGTTAATGGAAAGACCCTATGCAGAATAATATTGTTCCATCCAGTCATGATTCAGTGATTGGTTGGCAATGATTTTTATATACCAGAATGACAATCATTATATGCAGGGACGCCGGAATGATGTGAAGGCAAGGGGGGCAGATTTTCGCGAAAGGGCACTTTTGAATTGATATATACTAAGAGATGTTTGCAAAACATCAGGAGTTGAACTTTGCCTAATCATGTTTTCTATTTATTGGATGATAGGGGTGTGAGGGGGTTCTCCGCCAGGCGATTGTGCTATTCTTGAAGCTTGATGGCTGTATTTCTTGCGTTTTCTGAAGTAAATTCGTAAAAGAATTGCACTGACAATTCGCTATTTTGCCAAGGCAATCCTTTAAATTGAAAGGGCACCTTTGCCCCCCTTGCCCCTCCTGGTAAAGGGCAATGGGGGCGGCTGCCCCCTAGTTCCGGCGTCCCTGATTATATGACCAATCGTCAACAGGCCTTTATTAAAATTAGTTGGGGTGTGACCCACATGGACAAACATCTAAAATGGACAACTGCCATATTAGAATACAATAGGTTTGAAAATAGCAGACATACTGTAGTGGTTCGGGAAAGAATGTAGAAAATGCAAAACCATCTCTCAAGTCTCCCTTCGCTCCCTTTCCTTTCTGTTGATAGAAACGTAGATATATCCAGCCAAGTATCACACCACTGATGGTAAGGATCACATTGATCAGAGGTAGGAGCTGAACCAGCCAGAGAGGGACACTACACAACACCATGAGGGATGGTAAATACTAGAAATGGATTGGTTGGATATTGAGTGATGGTTAGTAGAGTATTGGTCAATGGCAATCCTGGGACACTACACAGCAACATATATATCTTAGTTTAAGTCAAGGACAAGAGGATCATTCTACATATCTATAGGTAGGTTTCATAAAACATTATCATGTAGAAGATTGTAATCAACTGCAAGTTAATTACCATGCAGTCAGTAAGAAAATCATTATTTTCATTATATGTGGTAGCTATAGTCTTGTATTTGGATCACATAAATATAATTGAGAGATTTAGTTTAAGCTATGTTGCAATGTGCCCTACTTTATAATTTACTCTGTCTAATGCCAGGGGGGGTTTACTAGTCAAAGTAAAGAAGAGCACTAGCACTAAATGGGTCACTTTGTTTGTTCCTATAAAAAGTTAAATATTTCTAAAGTTAACATCTCCTGTGCCACAAAACCGAACCTCTGGAAAATCTTACCTTGACCTTAATGCTCAACATTAAAAGTTTTAATTCTGTTTCTGGAACAGATTGTTTTAATGCAACTGTAACACCTGCCAGGATGCCATTCATGCCACTAAATGTTAGAAACCTTAAAAACATTGACAACATAACCATTCATGTATTAATTATATATGCCACAAAAAGAACAGTACTGGTACTAGACAGTATAACAGATAAAAAAATGATGCCTACCACACATATATGTTGTCAGTTACAAGATAGTAAAGTAAACATAATCCAGATGCAATCAGAGAGGTACCCACATTCAGGATGGTTATATATTTCTAGATATATAAATGGCAGAAATGAATAAATACTTTTTTTCATGGCAATGTGCAATAACTTGAATAGCAACCAAGAGATAACAGTACCAAAAACTCGAGAGCTCCCCACAATGGTTCAAGAATTCGTCCACAGAGAACCAGAACTATAATATCTGCAACAACCTAACATGGAAACAGGTTTTTAAAATAATTTGTTATAGGGTGGGAAGGCAAGTATATATTCATGAAACAATGGGGTTCTGGCATTGGCCATGGTACAGACAATTTCTATTAAAATGTTCACACTTCAGTGCAGTTTCTCGGGTGAATGAAATTGTCTGGTGAAGTTTCAACAAATGTGCAGGGTTGTTAGTCTATTGGCTATTAATTATGATATCAGATACAGTGTCAGACACCATTTACTGGTATCTTTACATTACTTTTTATCTGGCATTGGCCATTGGTAACTGGTAGAACAATATGACACACCCAAACACATATAGTACACAGCTTTTTCATACTGGATAACACCAGATATCCTGTGAGCCAGGGTGCATTCCATGGCGACTCTATACAATATGTAATTCACCAAACTCATGTCAAAGATCTTTCGGCGTAGCCCACTTAAAATGCAGCCGGACCTGCCAGACACGTACTCAGACCATCAAAACTATCAAATATTTCTTGCATTACATGATTCATATGGTTCCGACTGTCAAGTACCAAGCATACTTACATTCCACACTCTGTATTCGATAAATCCTCCAGTTATAAGAGTCCATATTTTAAAATGTGGGGGAATCAAGCTAAAAGTCAAAGATCAACAAATTTCACAAATTACAATGTAGTGAATATACGGTCTTATACAAACGGAATATTTATATCATATTTTTGCACATCAAAGAGAGTTCAAAACTGTCAAATCAGTGGAATACTTATATCATATTTTTGGACATTCAAAGAGAGTTCAAAAGTGTCAATTACTAAACTGATCGGCAAGAATATGTGAAAATATATTTAAATTGTGTGAATATCTTAGGCGATTTTGCAATATACTGTAGTGTATATATGTTTGTGAATAAAATTGGAAGCAGCCTCTAAAGCTCCTGTCTGTACAAATATTTAAGGAACTGTATAATGTTGTACTTACGAGCCTGGCGTCACAGCCAAAACATCGTAAACATGAGGAATATACCCCAGCACATAAAATAATGACACGAGACCACAAGATATTTTTACAACTATAGAAGCATCTCCGAGTGCTTTGTTTATCTGATTCTGCAAATAAAAAACATAGAGTTTAAATATTTGTTATTATTTCTTGCAAAATACGCGGAGAAAATACAACGTTTTTACCTTTAAATGATTAAAATCGTTCATAGAGGAAGCCATATTGAATTATGTTGTTGTTGTTTTGACATGCGCACTAACCGCATTTGACGTGTCAGATTCGAAGGAGCCTCGTTTTCGTGACGTTGGCTTTCAGTTACACGAAAACGAGGCTCTGTGGTCAAAGTGAGGACAATCTTAATGTTCGTCATAATCTGGCCTCCTCCGCAGTCATTGCTTTTAGATTAAATTAAGCCGGCAAACAAATTGAAACGGCAAACCACAAGATGCCGGCTAATCCTAATCTTCACTCTAAAATCATCTGGCATTAGACAGAGTAAAATAATAAAGTAGGGTGCATTTGGGGCACAATCATTTCACAGGGCACAATGCAAGTAATTAAGTAAGGGCTCTGCAGATAGGTTCACAATTGCGGAGATTTCAACAGCTGGAATCTTGAGGCTGTCTTGCGGATTGTATTAAAAATTCAAGCACAAACATTTATCACACAACTTGAAATGTTTTATTAAAAAAATACACTTCTATTTAAAATAAATTTATAATCCCAGTGAAATATATACCATTCAATTAACCCTGAGTTGTTTGAACAAATTTTTGGAAATCTGAAAAGTGCCTGAAACCATTTGCAATGGGAAATAGTCAAATTGTCCAAAAAGTTTCAACACACTAATACCAAAACACAAGCAGGGACCAAATAATGTAAATTTGGGCAAAGTCTTGAAATGTTTTAACATTTTGGTCAGTTCAAATGTGAACATGTTTTTTACTGATGACATGTAGAAATGTGATTATTTTTCTCCTTCATTTGCTTCAGTGTTCTGTTCATCATTGTTATTTTCAACGTCGTTATTTTCAGCATCATTATTGTCACCATCTTGGTTTTCGTCAGTTTTCTGTTTCTTTGTGTCAGGTGCTGTCGACTCTTCACTGGACGATTCTGTCTTGCGTTTCTTGGCAGCCGCCTCTTTCTTCTCTTTCTGATCTTTTCTGAATGCTGCAGTAAGGATAAACACTGATCTCAGATGTTTTTACACTGATACAAATACTACACTGGATTGATTTTCTACTCCATTCAACTTTATGACTGCATATAAAGTTCCTCCACTGAATGAACAAAGTCGTGATATTCAATGCTTGATTATTTTACCTTCTAAACTTGTTTTCAAAGGTTCAACAAACTGAGGAAATTCCATTTCTTCCAATGCGTCCATGACATCTTTGCCTGTCAACGTTTTCCTCTTGTTTTCCAGTGCATGGTTATTGGCACTAAAAAAAATTAATATCCATGTAAATATCTATGTAAATACTGAGCAAGCTTGCAATGCATAATTTACTCGATACTCACCATGACGTGCAGTATAATACAAAGACACTGGCTGCCTTGCTGATGGCAGATCTTGCTTCCTTGGAGATATTCACTCCATCACCAAGCTAGAAAAATCATAAAAGTAAAACATTACTCTCAGACATTTTTTTCTTATTTTCTCTTAAAGATGCAGGCTTGATTGCCATTCACTAGTCTCCCTCACAACCATTCTTAAGGTTGGAGATATTGTGTATACAGTTGCCTGACAATTGCAATGATAGGAGACACATACTGCTTCTTTGACAAGACGAGATATGACAGCATTGGGAAGATTCAGATCCTCTGGTTTCTCAGCCATGGTTTTATACAACACAAACTCTAAAATGTGAGATATAAAAAAATATTATTATTAATAATATTAAAATACAATGATAAAAACATTAATAATTAAAAACTAATGAGTCGTGTACAGATGACATTTGTATTGTACCTTGAAGTAATATATTTTGGTAATAATTACACACCACTGTACAGTTTCTTTCTTGTTTTCTTGCCCGATAAAAATAATTTCACTCCTTTATGCCGCCATATTAATTTCGATTCCCGCGTTTTATGCGGTGTTTCCAACTTGTCACAGTTCTTGTCTTGGAAAATTGATCAAAATCGTGTTATTGAAGGCTGTGATGTTGATTTTTTTGCTGTTCGTCTGTTTTGCTGTGTCTTTATAACAATTTTTGCTTCATTTGCAGGGTAGATGTTCGTGGTTAGTAATTTCTTGCAAAACGTTTTGCTTTTTTCCAAATATTTTTGAAAAAGATGTATATTTCAAGTGGCAGCACTACGTGGGGAAATTTCGGGGGAGGGACTGCAAACTTTGTGCATTGTTAATGAGATAAAAAGCGTCGTGTAATTTTCTTTTTTTTTGGTCAAATTCTTTCTTATTTCGCTCTTTGAAAGCTGCAAATAAAAGGTAGTTATATTCTTACATAAGTTTATGCTGTTTTTTCTATTAGTTTATCGTAACGTTTGCGATACTTTTTGTTTTTAATTTCGAAGGATGAGTGGGGGGATTGATACTATATATAAAATGGCTGTAAAAAAGCTGCTATTTCTGTGCTTGAAACACAATATTTGGTGGATATTCTGTTATTTAGCAGTGTTTGAAGATGAGTAGTTCTGAAGAAGTATCGTGGATTTCTTGGTTCTGTGGTCTGCGTGGCAACGAATTTTTCTGCGAGGTAAACACAACAGCAGGTTTATACAAACTTCGCACTTTCGAAATGTTTTATATGAAATAACTATACACCTTTATACCTAGCAATGTACTAAACTGTTTTACATGTGAATAACATGACTTGAGTTCAGCACATGCGGTGAGAAAATTGTAGGACCAGGTAAAACTGTCTAATGGAGAATGAAGACTGGCTTACAATGTCTCTTTGTATTGCAGTGAACTCTGGCTGTTTTACCTTTGCAGTTCTCGAAATAAGTGCTGGACATCAGTCATTAGGGAGTTTAAGGCAACAATGTTTTTAACAATATGGGTACCAGCCAGTAATAAAGCCATTATCAATGGCGACTGCAGTTCTTGATTTCAAGACAACAAGCCATGACGACTTAGAAGAGGCTGATGGAAGGTTGCAACATAAAATAAAATGTTAACCCACTGAGTTGCTATGCACCCTAATGTGCCCTACTTTATTATTTTACTTTGTCTAACAATGGAAATCAGTTTGTGTTACATGTGGCTCTGCCCGTATACTTCTGTCTCTTCCTATGTGCTGTTTTTAATGTCTTAAGATGTTTACATGCTGCAATTTGTCGTGTGCAGTTCATATTCGGGGATGGATCCAGTATGATCTGGTAGGGGAGGTGCTCTGCCAGCTCTGGTGCCGAGTTGTGTCAGTTATGTGTGCCGCCCGCCCATCAAATTACTTCACATGCTTGACTACAGTATTAGAATTGTAATTGTTGTTCACAGTTTGCTTATCATGTTATTACTCAAATTACTGTATCTCATTTTGCCTCTAATAATTTTTTGCTTTATCATGAAAATTAGCACCCCCTCTGGCCAGGGCTAGGGGGTGCGCACCCCCGCCGCACCCCAGTAAATTCATCCCTGTTAAAATGAGTGCTGGCACCATAATTCATTGCTGTTTTGTTAATGTAGCCAGCTTACACATGTTTACTCAATGATATATACCAGAAGCGAATCGTACGCATTGTTGGCAATTGTAATCGTTGATATTGTTAGTTGATATTAAACTTGATGTATTATAATGGATCCACAGTAATTGCCTATAGCTGTTGCGATTTCCAGCCGGCATTTTGAGGCAAAATGTAAAAAATTAAATTAACAGCAGACAATTTTACTCATGCTGGTGCTCAATGGTTTACAAATGTATTCTCTCATTTAGGTTGATGAAGATTACATTCAAGACAAATTTAATCTTACAGGATTAAATGAACAAGTTCCACATTACAGACAGGCACTAGACATGATTCTCGACATGGAACCAGGTGATGACTATTGCTCTCCTTGGCCTTCATACAAAAGATTCTTACTATATTTTACTCTGTCTAACTCCAGACAATTTTTCAAAGTGACTAGGGGAGAGTGCTCAATAGGTTAACATGGGTGGATTAAAAACAAAATGAAATGTCTTCTTTGCAGATGATGAACTGGAGGACAATCCCAATCAAAGTGATTTAATTGAACAAGCAGCAGAAATGCTCTATGGTTTAATTCATGCTCGTTATGTATTAACAAACAGAGGCTTAGCACAGATGGTAATGAGAGTTTGTCATTAATTAACCTATTTATGAAGACATTTGTTGATCAAATCTTAATTGATGTTTTAGCTTGAGAAATATCAGAATGGTGATTTTGGATATTGCTATAGAGTTTACTGTGAGAACCAACCTGTCTTGCCAATTGGTAAGAATGTACTCTTATTATGACCTTTGTAGTAGCTAAGCAGCAAACTAAAACTGAATGGCTTCTTTTCATAACATTTAGTTTAACAATAGTTTCATCCCGTCACAATCCGGTGAAGAGAAATTTCCATTATCTTTACATTAATAAGTTCTTTGCATGTTTGCATGGCGATAAAATATAATAGTTTTGTTTGTGGAAACACCACGTAAAAAAAAATAGGGGGAAAAGAAAAAAAGAAAAAATATATAATAATAATAATATACAATATATAATTGATGTTCTCCATCCATAAATAATTATCATTTGCAGTAATAAATTTACGTGGTGTTTCCACAAACAAAACTGTTATATCTTTATATTGTTTTGAAAATCCCACTGTTTCCATGCCAACCAGTCACAATCCAGTGATCACAATGTTCCATTGTCTCTTCATTGTTTTGAAAATCCCACTGTTCTCCATACCATCCAGTCAAGATCCAGTGATCAGAATGTTCCATTGTCTCTTCATTGTTTTGAAAATCCCACTGTTCTCCATACCATCCATGCTAACGTTACTGCATGTCACTTGAAGGTTTATCAGATGTTCCTGGTGAAGCGATGGTAAAACTATACTGTCCTAAATGTATGGATGTATATACTCCAAAATCATCAAGGCACCACCATACTGATGGTGCATACTTTGGTACTGGTTTTCCACATATGTTGTTTATGGTACATCCAGAGTATCGACCAAAACGGAGTCCTAACCAGTTTGTACCAAGGTTTGTGACTATATTTGTTTATCTGCACTTGTATTAATACCAGCGGTCATCATATTGTCAGCTGACACAATTATGCAGTTTAAATAAAGATTTTATTATTATTATCATACATTTCAGATTGTTTGGTTTCAAGATCCACCCAATGGCCTATCAGATTCAGTTGCAAGCCGCAGCTCAACGAGGACGTTCTGCATCCAGTCGACCTCGGACAGGCAAAAGTCAACACTACAAGAATTAAACAACAAACTTTATACAAGAGAGACTTAATTAAGTGTGGTTTTCAATAATTGATAACTTGTACATAGAAGAGAGTAAATTTTGGAATAAGCTGCTACAGGTCCGCCATGCATTGGATTGACAAAAACTCAGAAAGATGATAGGAACAACTTTTCACTGTCTTTAATTCATTTCCCTTGTAGTTTAAAAAACATCTTTAATTTGAGCTGATGGCATATTCCTATTGTTGAAAGAATGTATTGGGCCATCAATGATGCAAACCTTTACTTTTCGGGGGGGGGGGGCACAGAGGAAATCCGGACTTGGAGTTAGAATTAGAACTTGTAGTTACGACTTTTAGTTTGATAGTGTCTCATTCATGTTGCAAAATAAAATATGTTATGTTTTTGAGGAATTCAAACATTTTTCTTTTTTTTCGGTTTACGCTACTCTCTAGCTAGACATTATTTAGTTAAATTTTAGGAAAGTTTTTGGACATAGTTGGACAAAGAGGTTTTTCACGTATTGATAAAGATTCTATGGTCGTAGTCAATGCAAGAAACTCGAAATCATTTCCATTCAAGTTATTTTTGAAACATCTGGATTTGCAACATTCTTAGCATATTATGCATTCCAAGTCATCTCAATTAGTTACATTCGCTTCGCAAATAAAAACCGGTAATAAATATGATAAATATAATTTTACTATTTTTATTTTTAAATAAAAGTTAAAAAGGTTGAATTAAAAATTTAAATCTGAAAAATGGGAATAGAGAAAATATTGCAACTGAATGATGCAATGATATATAAAGGTCACATGATGACGTCGCGTGACGTGTTTATAAAATGGCGCTGCTGGGGGTGAATGACAAGGCTTTATATATATAGGGCAAGCCCTGCGAGAAGACGGCCGCCATGTCAGGAAGAAAAACGTGTGTGCTATGAAGGAATCCGTCGCCCTGGATGGAAAGTACAAGCCATCTGGTATCACAAGGGTACGGAAGATATTTTTTGAACAATTTTCTTTTGATTTATGGCAATTTTGGTCGTCAAACTTGCAGGGATGTGCTATATTATTATCGTCAAACTTGTAATTATTACCGCCATTTAGTACGAACGGACGCGTCTCTGAGATGTCCCGATTTAATCTGAAATATCTCGTTCTTTCCCGTTGTATTGCCCTACAAAATATCATTAAAGTATCCACTTTACTGTTGTGCATGTTTGTGTGTGAAATGTAGACGTTTATACGCTTTAAGAAACGAGTTTTGAGTAAACGTTCGTTTGTGCTGTCCTATAGGCAAAACGTCTGTATTACTTCTGACAACCCCGTTTCTTCAAGTCATGAATTAACGTCGTCAGGAAACTCTCCGGACTCCTGTGATGGGCTGGGAAAGCGAGTGAGGAAGCTGTCAAATAAATACGATGGATTCGAGCAACCTATCTCGGTATAAAGTTGTTTTTTATAATTTTCCACATCACTTTATACATAAGTGTGAACGCCATGTTGATATGCTTGGCGAGACGTTTGTATGATGTGAGCGGATGGCTATAGAATATATTTGGTTGTTTCTAGAGGAATCAACAACAGACAGACGAGAAAGAAGCAGAAACTGCACCCAAACAGTTCACAACAAACCAACTGCAATTTTTACAGCGAATTTTAGTAAAGTCGTTATGGCGCCATCGGATGGCTTGGCCATTTTTGGACGCAGTCGATGCTGTCAAGTTAAACTTGCCGGTAATTTATTGTCTAAAAGTTTTTGAAATTTTCTTTCTACATATCCCACGTGCTAAATATGAGTATTTTTGTTAGGACTATTTTGATATTATCAAACGTCCAATGGACATGGGCAAAATAAAGAAAAAATTGGAGAAAAATGTGTATTCTTGTGGCAAAGAGTGCATTGAAGATTTTAATACTATGTTCAATAACTGTTATACATACAATAAGCCCGGTGAGGTATGTGTCCTGTTTGTATTGTTTCAAATCAACTTGATATTTGGTCCAACTAACGTAGAGATAATTTGACATAGGTCACTAGTCACTTTGTCCTTATTCATTGTCTCATGAATTATGAACTGAACTGCTCAAAAAAATATTGAAATACTTGAATATTTCAAGTGGAGGCCCTTCGTTCTGAGGTTTATAATTGTAACCATGTCCTAATGGCCTTCTCTTGAAATGTCAAAACTTTTTTAAACCAATTAAGTTGTGCCCTACTTTATTATTTTACTCTGTCTATGAACCCACTAGCACTCTCCGCTTGACAGGAGAATGGACTGGCATTCGACAGAGTAAAAAAGTAAGGCAAGGCTGCTCACGGCACAATGCCACTTGATGGTTAATCCTTTTTAGGTAGTTGAGACCTAACATGCTAGATTAACCAAATGTGGCCTACCAACATGTCCTAAAGACAAACTCAATCTTAAAACAATAAATAGTAAGATATTCCAGAAATACATGTAAACAGTTCTTGTCAAAACTCCTCACTCTAGTGCCTGCAATTGACCTTAGAAGTCCTTATGTCATGTTACTGTTAACCTGAAGTTCAGGCCCTATTAATCACAGAATAGGGCCTGACACAAAACCTGTGTAGACCGTGGGATGCCCACATGTTAGTTGTAGATGTTGTTACACAAAAATTTATATTCTCATGAACATGTCCGCAGAGTCAGTTTCTCTATTTAACCGAACAGCAAACAAATATTTAATTAGTTCTGTGCACAGCTTGACTGCCAAGCTTTCTCAAGGTCTCAACTTGCTGGACGCGGATATATATCTAACAGGCTAACAACAGCAACAATGAAATTCTCAATAGTACCACGAAGAAGGCGATGTAGCTTAGAAAACAACGCCGGTAGGACCTGATATTAAAAATAAGACTTTTGCCGGCAAAGTCAGTTGGCAGAACATCTTGGCTGTCAACAACAAGCTTTCGAATACATGACTAGTTTCAGTAGTTTGGCTGTTCTTTCAGTGTTGTGTGTCCAAAATTCGTCAAAGATTTTGATAAAGCCCTTTCAAAATACTGTTTGTTTGATTTATTTTCTGCCGTAAAGCATAAAAGAAAAGAAATTTGAAGAAATTGATAATGGAATTTGTTACTTGTTTGACCTTTATATTAATTGTTGCCTTGAGCGAGCTATTTTTAAAACTGTTGTTTATGTGAACTTGCAGCCAATCAAAAACTTTAATGATGCTGATCAACCAGTCAGATTTCCCGTCCACTAGATGGACGGGAATCCCACGGTTTAGATAGGTTTTGTGTCGGGCCCTATTCTGTGATTAGGGCCTGAACTTCAGGTTACGTTACTGTCTAGGGATGAGCCGATTAATCGGTAAGTAATCGGCAAAGCCGATTAATCGGCCGTTTTTTAAATAATCGGTAATCGGCCGATTATTGCCTGATAATCGGCCATAAGACTTTTTCTGCAGCTGCCAATCACATGCTAAAATACTGAATACAAGCGAATAGATTTTCACATTTTGTTGCAAAACCTACACATGTCTTTTGTCTCAAGCGAAGTGAAGCTGGGAACATTTCCACTAAAAAAACTCTGCAGACTAGCTCCGCATAGCTGACAGTGCCTTGTTTTTACACCATAATCTGCCAAAACTAAACTTTGACTATTGACATGAGAGACTGAAGATGTTTTTAATTGTACAAAGTGTGTATTGTAAACAATAAAACCACATTTACAACTTCATTGTTGGTCATCTTGTGATTTTTTGCTTGCTTTTTAGAATAATCGGTGGGTGCCGATTAATCGGCCGATAAGTTACAATAATCGGCTTAAAAATAATCGGCCTCAGTAATCGGCAATTTTCCTTATCGGCTCATCCCTATTACTGTCAAACAATGAATTGCATTGCATTATGTATACCTAAGTGTTTGGTTGAAAATTGTGTGAGCTGTACCTCTAATCTTGTTTATATTTGGTTGAAAACCTCGTATAGGATGTTGTGCTGATGTGTGAAGCATTGGAAAAAGCTTTCAGGGAAAAATTGAATAATATGCCTCCTGAGGTAATATTGTTTTAAATGTCAATGCATGAAATACTTCTTGGCCTGACTTATTTTGAGGTTTGATTTTCTAGGAGATCAAGATCGACTTGAGTGCCAAGAAAAGACCAGGGGCTCCTAAAACACCAGTTGTCCCAGTGGAAGCCAAGAAATCCAAGAGAATTCCAAAACTAATGGAGAAAACAACAGGTGAGGATTATGTCATTCTTGGAAAAAACATCTGCATGCCCCACTGAGGGAATCTGGGCCTATTAACCTATTGAGTGGTAGCACTCTTCCCTTGATGAAAAAAATAATTTGGGAATTTAGTAATTTACATTGTCAAGAGAGTTCCGGGATTCAATGGGTTAACATATCCCAAATACCTGTGGCTTTCACTTGTACAAACAAAGAATACAATATCAAAATTCACTGTATTTGTATTATCTTTATGCAGTAGCAGTGGCAGATAGCACACCCTCTGTGATCTCTACACCACAGTTAACAAAGGATGTAGCGCCTGTCAAAGTTGAGATGCCAACAGTTGTAAACCAAACTCCAACCATTGTTTCACCACCTCATAACTCTGCAGCTGTTACATCTACCTCAACAACACCCACTGTGATTCCACAGGCGTCAGCAGTGCCTTCTTCCAAGGCAAAGAAACGTAAGGCTGATACAACAACGCCTGGGAACCTGCCATCGGAACAACCTCCGGTGAGCAAAGCTGCCAAGATACCTGCTCGACGTGGTTCTACAAGACCAATCAAGAAACCTACACGAGATTTGCCAGAGTTACCTAATCAGGTAATTATTTTTAACAAAATTGATACTTTTCACAAAGAAGTTGGTGATCTCTTAATTAATGCAATTTTTTCTTTACTTTAGCATCGCTGTAAGAAAAAGCCACAGACTGAACAAATGAAGTATTGTAATGCGATTTTACGGGAACTGTATTCCAAAAAGCACTATGTAAGTCGAGGCCAACTATTGTAGATATTGTGTTCTTTGAGAGACTGAGAACTAAGTCACCGGCTCAAAATTGTTTCCCTGGTTGAGATGGCAGTGTTCCACGAAAAACTCTCATGCGTAGGTATTAGTATGGTTTTGAATGCAATTTATTTTTTGACTAGGAGTATGCATGGCCTTTCTATTACCCTGTGGATGCTGATGGCTTGGGACTCCATGATTATTTTACAATAATTAAGACGCCCATGGATCTTACCACTGTCAAGGTAAGTTGGGTTTAGCACCAGCAATCTCACTTTCGGTTAATATTAATTTTCAAAACATGACACTAAATAAAAATTCTATTTTCCATAAAGTCTGTAAGAACTAAAGAGGTTTAAGTTTTCAAATGTGTTCTTGTGTTCTTGAACCTTTTATTTTAAAACTGAAGTTATTTTAGGTTACCCTTTACACAATTTTGCATTTTGTCATGTACTGTTTGCTTATGTCAAAAAATACCACAATTCCTCCTCATTCAGTTGAAGTAAAAATTAAAGGGAAAAAAATGGTTTAGAAGCCTAGAGGGACAACAATGCTAAAACCTTGACATACAATGATGATTAATTTCAGAACAAACTAGAGAATCGGGATTATGGAACTCCATCACAGTTTGCAGCTGATGTTCGGATGATCTTTACAAACTGCTATAAATACAATCCTTCTGATCATGATGTTGTGAGGATGGGCCGAAAATTGCAGGTAAAAAATGAATAAAAAGTGTTTCAAGCGAGCGTAGAAGTATACTAGCCTATCTATTTCAGTCTATGTTATTTATATGTAATATTTAGTGATTTCTACTGCTTCAGGATGTATTTGAGATGAGGTATGCAAAGATGCCTGATGAGCCACCTCCCCCTGAACAACCATCTTCAGCATCACAAGATACAGAGACTGGAGTGGGTTCCTCAGATGAGGAGCAAGGGGGGTCGGAACATAGTTACGAGTCTGAGGATGAAGATCGTAAGTCTGAGAGTGAAGATGCTAGAAAACAGATCAATGACCTGCAACAACAGGTACAGTTGCATTCTACAAAATCAAGTTGGTAAAAATGGTGACATCTTTTGACAGTTTTTGACTTTCAGTACGAATTACTCATGCTAAAGTGGTCCCATTGAGTGCCAGCATTGTCCCCGTGACAAGTAAAATTGTCTGGTAGTTAGACTGAGTAAAGTAAGAGAGTGGGATGGTTCTTTTGTGTCATATCCCAGCTCCTTCATTCGTAACAGAACCTGGCTTGTTCAAAGTCTAACCTGCATAATTGTAAAGAATTCTATTATTGCACAGCCATGCATATTTGAGAAGATTGCTATCCCTATGTCGTTGTTAACTTGCCAAACTCTTTTCTTCAGTTGATGTCAGTCACGGAGCAACTCAGCAAATTGACTGGACAAAATGTGCTTGTAAACAAGAAAACGAAGAAATCAGAGAAAGATACGAAAAGAAAGAAAAAGCCAAAGGATGTCACGACAAAGAGCTCAACAACGAAGACGAAACCGAAAACAAAAGATCATAAACCACATAAAGAACCAAAACAGGCAAAGCCAAAACAAAAATCTGGGAACAAATCTGCATCAAAACGATCATCTAAAAGCAAGTAAGTTGTTGTTTATGTGAACAAAATCAAAATAGTAGATGTTGGTTGTAGTTAAAAGTTGACCCTTTAAGTTAAGTGGCAATGTGTATGTGCCCCTATGCAGCCTACTTGATTATTTTACTCTGTCAGACAATTTTACTTTCAAGGGAGAGCACTGCCACTCAATTTATCAACCACTCCAAGTTCATCTTCGTCCCTAGGGCCTCTCGGCCGCGCACGACCTCATTAGACCCTGGGACACAAGGAACCGGAAGTGCAAGAACACTTGGAATAGTTTCTAAAGCGGACGCTCTTGAATTGGGACGCTTTAGCACCCGTTACGATTTCCACAGTGAAGTATTACGAAGAAACAAAGTATTTGTGTGTTGACATATGTTGATGGAATAGTTTTGCCTAGCGAAAATTGCTCAACTTCTGCGAAATAGCAGTTCTCTGAGAAGCCAATCATATATCTCCCTTTAGTCGTCTAACCCTGAGCCTAATCCGAGTGAAAACGGCTCAGCTACCTGTATACAATATAGTTGTGCTAAATTATTGTATTTTTGTAGACTTGCTCAAAAGAAAAAGAAGGAAGAAATTGAAAGTGAAGATGAGGAAGACTCGAAGGCGATGACGTACGATGAGAAGCGCCAGCTTTCTTTAGACATCAATAAATTACCAGGTGATAAACTTGGCCGAGTGGTGACAATTATCCAGTCTCGAGAACCAACATTACAAGATTCCAACCCAGATGAAATTGAAATTGACTTTGAAACATTAAAACCATCAACTTTGAGAAAGCTTGAAGAATATGTGCAGTCCTGTTTGAAGAAAAAGCATAAAGCACCAGGTCAGTTGGCTTCTAGTTTGCTCACTTTGAATAGCCCTGGTGGCAAGTCATGTGAGCATGTTGTTACTGCCTGCTACTCTACAGTTGGTAATATGTCAAATCTCTGTAATGTCACGACTTCGATCAGTATTTTTTGATACCAGTGTTTGCCCAGGGTTAAATATTTCCAATGTTGAGATACTTTCTTCTTGTATTCAGCAATGAAGAAAGCAAAGTCTCAGGAGGAAAGAGATCAAGAGAATGCTAAAAGAAGACAAGAGTTGGAGAAGAGGTTACAGGTGCGTTTTTATTGCTTGCCCAGTACAAAGTTTTGAAACTGTAACTTAACATGTTTTACTTTGGCAGGATGTCAGTGGACAATTGACGGGAGCATCTGCCACAAAGAAACCTTCAAAAAGTGGGAAAGGTATGTGTAGAAGTGACATCGTTAACCACCTGGGGACGGTTGTTCAAAGCTGGGTTAGCTTAACCCTAGGTTAACTTAAAATTGAAAGCAAACTTCCCAAGATATTGTTTATAAATTTTGAAATATTTCTTCAGAGATCTTGTCTGAATCAGTAGGAGTTGTCTTCTCTGAAGTTTTGAAATAAACAGACGTGCAGAAATACACAAACTAAAACAACAGATGAAATTTTAACAGAGGGTTAGCGTTAATCCACCTTTGAACAACTGGCCCCAGGTCAAACCATGAGACTGTCATGCATTCTGACATTTCAAGCTGTAGACTAATAAAATAAAAATTTTCCAACTAGGATTCTCTTTCTCTTTTGTTAACACTTTCATTGCCTCCTTCCAGGTGATGGTCAATCAGCGTTGGACATTCTTGGCGACGAAATGCGACAATCTCGACTGAGTGAAAGCAGCAGTAGTAGTGGCAGTGGGTCTGGAAGCAGTTCGGGATCCAGTTCGGGATCGAGCTCCTCTGGTTCGGAAAGTTCCGATTCTGAAGCAGGTAGCTAAGATCACGTAGACAACTTTGTTCATTACCTGAACATACGTTGTCATCACGTGGACAGACTCACCTGACTAACCGGATAAATCACGTGATAAATGGACATAGTTCCATTGCCACAACCACCCATAGGCAACTAAGTTTGACCCAAACCGTTGATGAAAGTTTCAATTGTGTGAGTTTTATTTATAGTGCCCAGTTCCCTTGCGTTGCCAATCATTGTACGTTGCCATGTGTCGGATTTCTGCAAGGATGCATTGTAGTAAAGTGGGATAATCTAGGAATGTTTCCTATATAGAACCGGATGGGGTCAATGGTGTTTTGAGAATGATAACATTTTTCTTGGAGTGTTGGTCATTGTTCAGAGCAAAGTATTTTTTGTCATTTTTCGCCTTGCTTCGTTGCTGCTGCTTTTCAAAGTTTCATGTTATTACTTACGCTTAGTGTAACCTATGGCTCGCTTTGAACTGAAGCCAGTACACTCTCGAGATGTTATGCGGCTGCGTGAATAATTTCTCGTGTAGAACAAAGATTTTAACGAACGTTCTCGCTGCTTTAAACTTTATAACTTGGTTCTTTTACGAAACATCCCATTGTGTTCTCGCGTGAACCACAAAGGATGCATACAAAATATCCTTGTTATGTTACAATGCATCCCAGAAATATTTCAATACACGGTAAATGTCTGTATTGTAATCGCAAAATGGAACTCTCCCTTCCCTCCTCAGTTTATGGTTGATGGTTTATCGCTGTAAATAAACGTTCAGGTTGTATTACTTCGCTAAGGACAATAGAACTGTGCCTGTAGAACTGCAATGTAAATAAAAAATAATAATTTGTGAACATCTGTGTGTCTTTTTGTGTCTCATGAGTTTCATTTTGGATTACAATACGTCGGATTTCGTGTTCCAAGGCTTGCCTTTGTCGCAATGTTCGCTCAATGAATTGCCATGTTTCCAGAACATCGATGCAAGATGATAAGACAATAGCCATATGTAATCGAGAATTTGGGGGGTAGATTATGGTTCTTGCTTGGAGAACCTACGACGCAGGACGGCTAGTAATAGAATAAAATTTAGAATACACCCCAGAATATGCCCTTTTGCCCGCAAAGCCTCGTTTTCATGATTCAGACTTTGGGCTTTAATCTCACATACACCAAGATGACCACCACTTTCTTAGTACACTTCCATAGATGACCACCACTTTCTTAGACACTTCCAAGATGACCACCACTTTCTTAAACACTTCCATAGATGACCACCACTTTCTTAGACACTTCCATAGATGACCACCACTTTCGTAGACACTTCCATAGATGACCATCACTTTCTTAGACACTTCCATAGATGACCACCACTTTCTTAGACACTTCCATAGATGACCACCACTTTCTTAGACACTTCCATAGATGACCACCACTTTCTTAGACACTTCCATAGATGACCACCACTTTCGTAGACACTTTCATAGATGACCATCACTTTCTTAGACACTTCCATACATGACCACCACTTCCGTAGACACTTCCATAGATGACCACCACTTTCTTAGACACTTCCATAGATGACCACCACTTTCGTAGACACTTTCATAGATGACCACCACTTTTGTAGACATGCGCTTGACGTACCAGCGTGTTCTCTCAATTCATCCCGTGTGGATGAGACAATAGAGACCTTACATTTTTAGGACGGCAACGCGACGACGACGGCCAAAACAAACTCATTCAAATACAGCAAAGGAGGGGAATCAGCGCAATTCTTAAATTAAGTCTAGCAGGGCGCATCAGTGGCGTAGGAAGCATTGGGGGGGGGGGGGGGGGGGCACGTTCCTTCTGTTCAAATTGGTGTGCAGGGGCCGTTTGTATAAAAAAGTGATTCAAGTTAACTGTAGTTAATGGCAACGTCATCCAATAAGAAGCGCAAAATAGTGATTAAGAGGTTTATACAACCGGCCCCTGATCATAAATTATACCCAATAGCGTTTGTGGAAAATGCCTCTGGACATGCAAATAAGGCCAGCTTGTGCAGACATTTTTTCGACATGTCTAGCATATCTCGCTTGGGTGTAAATGTGTGTATGGTATAAAATGGTCCAACGTCGTGTGCGACATATCAGAGACCTTACGATTTTAGGATGGCAACGCGACGGCCAAAACAAACTCCTTCAAATAAATGGTAGTAAAGATAGTTCATGGTATATTATCACTCGTATGAATTTAATACAGTCTTAGAAGTTAAAGACATGGGTTTTATGGTTGGGAATAGTTCTGCTGAACCCAGTTTGAAGTTGCACTTGTTGCGGCTTGGAATGCAGCCGTTGTATCACGACGTGAAAATCTGTGATTTAGTGGCCTCGTCTGAACATTGTTTTAGATGTTGTGCAACATTTCAGGTTTATGCTTATTAATCATTGACATGCGTGAACATAAAGAGATAACGTGTGTTTTTTTTTTGTTCTGTAGAAACTACAAAAGCGAGTTTAAAGACGACAGAAAAGGTAACATTAAGAAATCTCATCAGTATCCCTGTAATCTTATAATATAAAATAGTCAACAATGTATGGTATTTCTCACCATGTTAATGGTAGTATTTTGTGGTTTTCAGACGAAGTCAAAAAAGTCTGTTGATCTAAAGGATTCGTCAACAACAGTCACTACCACAGGTGAGGATTATCTCACTGTCCAGATGGTATAACATGGTATAACCATATAACATGGTATAACATGGTATAACCATATTATACCATGATGATATAACATGGTATAACCATACAATAATATTGATGGTATAACCATATACATAATATTGATGGTATAACATGGTATAACCATACAATAATATTGATGGTATAACATGGTATAACCATATACATAATATTGATGGTATAACATGGTATAACCATACAATTATGATATAAGTTATAACCATTTGTTTCCACAACTTAGGTATATTTACATGTTATATGTGTTCATGTAACACAACATCAGATCACTAACACCTCTCAATGTGTTGACACAAGTGACCAACTATGCAACTTGTTGTTTATTTCAGCCCCAGTGGTAAACATCCCCCCACTTCCCAGTCAAACGGTCCAACCCATGAAATCATCCCCACCCATGAAATCATCCCCACCCACTGTACTCAAGCCATTACCTCCAACAAAGAAACCTCCTACAGCTATAATCCCACCTCAACCCAAACCTAGCCCCGCCCCCTTACCTAAACTCCCCCCACTCCGTCCTTCCTCCATTCCGGTTGCTGTAACAAAACCTCAGGTCATCTCGAAGCCTTTGACCCCACGCACAGTGGACCCTCCTAAACCTTCTGAAAACCTTTCAAAAACTACGGTATCAAAAGATTCAAGCAAACCAATGAATCCTCCCAATGTCCAGTCTTCTATAATAGCAACCTCGGTGACAAAAGATAAGGTTTCCCACGTGAATAAAGAGAAAACGATAATTAAAGATAACAAGACGACATCGAAAGACAAAACAGGATTTGTGCTGCCAACCCCTAAACCAGTAGCAACTAAACCAGGTATTATTTACCGAAATATTCCTATTATGTTTTTTTTGCAAACTATTCTTAATTAAACACTTTGTTTATTAGGTGCTGGGTTGTCTTACGCAGTCGGTGAGCTGCCAAATTCCTTGGCCAACCTTGGTGAGAACAATATTTTGTGTTCCAGTTGTATATTCACAATTGTATATAATCTCGCAAAATTTCTACCTGCAAAAACCCTTAAACTCTTAGTTCTGTTGAGTGAGATGCCCATACCTTATTCTCACATCAGGGATGGATTTACTGGCGGGTGCACCACCCTAGCCTTAGCAGGGGGGGGGGGGTATGTGCTATTTTTCATGATATAAATGCAAAACATAATAGAGACAAAATGAGGGATCCATCCCTGTCTGCCATCACCCACTATACAGCATATAGCTCTGTTCGTTCTGCACTGGAATCGTAGTGCCGTATATTAGTTTCCTACCAGAGTGCCTCGTAGCTAGCTCTTGATAATTGTGTAGGATAAGTAATTACAGTGTGTATAATTTGTCTCTTACAGCGTCTAAACCAGATGCAGGAAAAAAGGTATATTTGTTTATTATTATATTTGTCTACTTGAATAAAATTCTGAAATAAATTATTAGTGTCACATTGTGGCATTGCGGGCTTAAATTCCTGCCAGGACTTGGGATATTGTCCGCTGTCACTTGCTGGAAAAAAACCTGCTAAATTCACGCAATACTTAGCAGATTGCGTGTGTGTGTGTGTGTGTGTGTGTGTGTGTGTGTGTGTGTGTGTGTGTGTGTGTGTGTGTGTGTGTGTGTGTGTGTGTGTGTGTGTGTGTGTGTGTGGGGGGGGCTGTAATGAAATCATGTTGCATGAGGGGGGGCTAAGGTGGTTCATTAGTCTTTATCATGTAGCAGAATGAAGATGATATAATGTCATGTATTTGGTGGCAAATAAATAGAATATACAGAGATATTGTTCAATTTCCTTGCTCCTATATATAGTAGTAGTGAAAACACAATTTAATTATTTATACATTTATATAGAGAATAATACATAGGTGCTTGGAAATACCAGATTTATTTCGAGTGTTGAACATGATATCTCACGAGTGAGCGCAGCGAACGAGTGAGATTTCATGTTCAACACTCGAAATAAATCTGGTATTTCCAAGCACCCATGTATTATTCTGTTTATTATATAAAGGACAGTCTTTGAAAAGCGATATTTTTTACAGAAGAGCGAAAATTGAAAAGCGATAATTTTCACATGTGAGATTATCATAAATAATCTCACATGTGAGATTATCACTTTTATCAGTGCATAAAGCACTATACTTATAAAGCACTATACTTTATATAATAAATAACAGTAATCATTTTGTAGAACACCATGTAAGATATTCTATTTGTCGCTACAGGACTCGAAGGCAAGGCCCACATCATGGTCTAGTTTCGGCTCAGCGGGTTCACCTGGAGTTCCAAATTCAACACCAGTCTCCAACTCTGTGTCAACTGAAAACAGTTTCAAAAAATTCCAACAGCAAGCCCAAGAGAAAATGGAGAGGGTAAGTCTACATGACATGATTAATTTAGTCTCATGAATATAGCCCTGGGCACCAAGTATTTCAAATAGAGGATACCACTAACCATAACCATGACATTTGAGCCTAAACTTGAGTTTTGTGATTAGAACGTATATTTAATTACTTCACAATATTGCAGGAGAAAGCATTGAAATCACAAGAAGAACAATTAAAACCAAGGTCAGAAACCGACAAACTGAAGACAGAGGAAAAGAGGTACCGTTAATTATCTTCTAATATCCAGGTTCGATTCCCACCGTGGCCAAGCATATTTTTCAAGCCTGCCCCGTGTGGATATACACTCAAAGTAACATCACACAAGCATAATATCCATAACGTTGGCTAGTGAATTTGAACCAGAGTATTCTAATATAATACTTGTTAATCTAATTTGTTTGAGGATTCATTTCGGAATGAGAGTAGTGATACATGTGTGATATTTAGAAATGTTGAGGAGACTGATGGCGGTAAAGACGAAGCAGCTGAACGTCAGAGAGAAATTCAGAGACGTCGAGAAGAGGCAAGGCGTAACAGACAAGCTGTAAGTATTGCACACCAGGTTATTCACAACAATCCAAAAAGTGTATTTCAATTTTTGTTACTAAATTCCCCAGGTGAAAAGCATCATGGTGCTCTGTGACATAAGTCTGACATTATGTTTCCGCTTCATCATGGAACTCATTCTCCTCATTTTTCCTTGCACAGAAAGCAGCATCAATTGACATGAACTTCCAAAGTGACATAATGGCTTCATTTGAAAATACTATTGGATAGACATGTGTTAAAGGTATGCAGGGTAATTTTGTCGTGGTTTGCCGTACTCGCTGTGTTGAAATAAACCAAAAATTACAAAAAATAAGCGAGTTGATGGAAATGTAAGGTGTGAAGTATATTTGTAAATTGAGGTATTGGCACTTCATGTCAACGCTAACCTCCAAAGCCTGAGAACTATTTCCCACAAACGCGTTCTAGCTCAAAACTACTATATACTGTAGAAATTATAAAAATATAAGACTTGCATGTTGCAGTCATATTTTGAGAACGTTTAAGCGTACTTTTGGTATTGAAATTTCAATACTGATACAAATAAGACGAGTTTTATTTGAATAAAATATTACCTTACTTGTATACACTTTGTGAAGTTCATTTTTTTCCCAATGGAGAGGAAAACCCACCACAATTTTCACTTGAATAAGACTGCTTTTAACTCCTTCCTCCAAATTGTCTATTTTCCATAAAGGTGGGGGGGGGGGGGGGG